CGGCATTACTCGAGTGTCATTTTGAATTTTTATTAGATTTAAAAATTGTGATTTTATCACTTGTATTGTTTTAGTCAATGAGTGTCATGTTAAAAAATTACTTGTGTCTCCCTGGAAAAATGTTAGAATCACAGTGACCTCAGAATTATGGTTTATCTAAAATTTGATTATAGACCTAATGAAGCGGGACTAGCGTTATTAACTGCCCTACCCTCTCAAATTCATTGAGTTCGCACCTTTAAAAGAGAGCGCAATCCATTACTTTGTATTTTGGTGTTAAAATGAATGCTTCAAGACACTGGGCCCATTATCTACTTAATAACTTGTGTTATGTTGGTGGAGCACATAAGTCTGGGAGGGGGGGGGGGGGTACACAGTCTTGAAGTTAGACTATATGTGAGGACCATCTTTGCTGAAAGATTTGTTTCTGATTAATCAAGTTCATTTTTTATGTAATGTCATCTTGGGAATTCAGTGAATGATGACGATTCAAACTTCAAGCGAGTATTCTAATTATAAGAAGAGTCAGTTTCCTTTTGCAGGCCCGTTGCCAGTTTTTACCAAGTGGGGGGGGGGGCAGTTTTACCAAGGGGGAGCTTTTAGACAGTTTTGGCTAAAAAATCATGATGAATTTGGCAAGTACAATCATTTAGGGCAGATCAATAGCACCCCCCTCCACTAAGAAGGCCCAAAAACTATTTTTGACCCCATTTTCAAAATGTTGGGCTCCTACTACAATTCAGGCCCATTTTCCCATAAAAGGCTATTAAAAAAATTCTGTGGCCTAAAATGAAAAAAGTGTTACTCGAAAGAACTGTCCCCAAATCCACCCGTCACTTTCTGATGATTTAGTCTATGAAGTCACAAAATCAACAAAAGTCAGATGCTACCTCAAGACTTGACCTTTTGTACTAAACATGATCAATTAGATCACCCCTCCCTTTGTTATCTTGTGTTTATTTAAGTACTAAGTGGAAGGGTCTATTTTTCATTTCCTTATATATTGGACTTTATCCTAGCACCCCTGTGACCTACAAATTGGACTAGTCCATGTTGAACAAACAAGGGCAATCATTCATTTCTTGCATAATTGATCTCAAAAATAGGTAGGTCAGCACTGTTATCCCATCAATTATTCTATGTTGGTCATATGACATTTACAAGGTCATCATAACCGTGTGCTGGTATAGTATGTATTTTGGACTTTTATCTTTTATGGGTTATACCTATATATCATGATCTCATTTTAAAAACAGATATGGAGTCAATGACTGACAAGTCATGTTTATGAAGCTTAGTAGGTCATTCTCCTCAATAAAAATGATTGATGTAATAGGGAGAAATCAAATCAGTAGAACTTTTTTATCTGAACACCTCTCAATACACTGACTTAGCTTGTATTCGCGAATGCAACTAACGCCTGTCGGCTACCAGATTAACCTACTTTTATATGACCAACTCATTTAGTTATGGAATAGTGGCAAGTACTATTCATAATTAAATGAGTTTCCCATAAAATAGGAGGTTAATCCGTTAGCCGATAAACCTTGAAATGTGAACTCCTGCTATTCTGGAGACTTTAGGCCGGACCCAGTAGTCTTGGGTTCAGACCATTCTGATACTCCTAGCATCTTTCTGTTTCAGGGCTTAGAAGAAATAAGATGTCATGGTTTATCATGATGTGATTAGCCTGTAACAAATAATCTTTTGGAGTATTATACTTCTCCTTGGTAAATCTTTCTGTAACAAGGCTGAGAAGAAATGAGAACGGGCTTCACATAGCCATCCTTGGCCCAAGAGTAATTCATTGCATTGTGCTATGAAAGCAGTGAAGGACCGATCTTGAAGGATGTCACATAGCAGCTATCAAAACAGTGAATTGCCCTTGGGCCAAGGATGTTTCTGAGTATAATCTGATAACAATGTATCTTTTGATCATGATTCTCACCTTTTCATACTAATAACTTTTCTATCTTGATACTTCAGCATCCTCAAGGCACTGATCTGAACTATCCACACTTAGACAAGTCAAGGGATCTGCACTCGTTGAGCGAGTCAATTATTGATAATACCTATCAATGACTTGATTTTACCTTATTATACCTTATTATGAGGGTACTTCATCAGACTCAAAAAGGCCTCTTGACAATGAAAACTATTTGAAATCAAGATAATTACTACGTCAAGTCTGTTATTTATAAACTCCTGTCATTATTCTATTGCCCTTTTGAGTAACAGAAATAATTTTTATTCAAGTGTACATTTGAGGTCATTGGCCTTGGTCAGCTCATTCACCTTGGTCATTGGCCTAACTGATATAAATAGTAAGACGTGACATATGATACAAGTACTAAGTACTTGCCCTTTCCAATAAAGTAAAACCTGTCTAAATGGAACATCTTTGATACCTCTAAAAGTGTTCCACTTTGGAGGTGTTCCACTTATAGATGTTCATTTTAACATCAAGTCAGTTGATCTTGGGACTCTGATCCACTAACAGAAGAGTTCCACCATCTAGAGTTTCATTTTACAGGTTCCTCTATACAGTAGTTCGATTTCTTTTCTTCAGAGTGCTTAATCAATAGTTAATGCTTATTTTAGGTCTGTGCCTAGGGATACATGAATATGATATCTAAAAATCGAACACAAGCATGCTTAAAGTCTCGGTTCCCCCCTTTGGCTTCCACTTCTTATTGAGACACTTTGTAAATGGGGTAAAGGTAAGGAGAGGGTCTGACAAACACTGGGATATTTCTGTATTTCTCTCATATATTTTGGGTACTGTTTGATGTTTCTAGGATGGTGATACCATTTTTTGTTTTATCAAAACTGTTCGTTTCAGTGATAATTAATCTAATAGCTTTAGCTTAAAAATATCATAATTTTCTGAATAATATGGTTATATCGGATTTCATTTCATAATGTTGTTATGTTGGTTCGTAAATAATACATGTGTGCTATTCAAAATTAATATACAGTTGTTCCTTAATGAAACCACTATAATCTAAACCCAGAGTCCTGATTAAACAGGCCTAATAAAGAATAACAGGAATTCGTTATTTTCAGTGTTCTTAGAAGATGGAGTGTGGAATTTAATATAGTCTTGTTTCAAGCCCTTGTGCCTCATTCACAGATCACACCCATGTCCCATATCTGGAAGTGAAGTACATGTAGATGGATAATAGGGCAAAGGCATTTACAGACTTGATGCAAAACTTTATTTTTATTACCATGTCCTAAGAGCTTGGTGTTCAGGCCCATAGCCAGGATTTACCGGGGGGGAGGGGGGGGGGGCGGTTTTACCAAGGTTTTTTGCCAAATCTTGCGAACAGTACTCAGAATGGTCAAAAGCTACATGATTTTTGAAAGAATTTCTGGCTAGGAGGGGGAGTGGCCGCTCCCTCCACTCCCCCCCCCCCCACTCCCCCCCCCTGGCTACGGGCCTGCTGTTTGTGTTCATTGATTGACTCTTTTGGGAATACTTCAAACAAATCTTTAGGGGAGGTTTTGCCATCAGTATGGCCTTCATCTTTACCCCCCCCCCCCTTCAGAATATTTTCTCTGAACCAAAATGTTAACTACATGCGGTCTCCTGAAGGTGAAGACTATTTCATCTCAACTCCCCACAGTACTAAGCCTAAGCACTTAAAATATGAATATTTTAACTTCATATCAACAATTGAATACCCCATATCAGCATATGCCTCAATTAAAAAAGACTTCTCAGAAATCAATTATTAATTGATACACAAAAAATCTAGGGTAATCGGACATATCTGTAACCAGCCATTACAAATAATGATAACTCGCATTATTAGAAATTGGTCTCATATATGGATGCGTTTAATGGCTTATGTAAAGTATATTGCACTTTAAGTGTACTCTAGCTCCATTACCTTGTGATCTACTCTATTAAAAGTCCAGGTGTATTCATGGTGTACTATTATGCATTCTGTATGCACTGTTAATGTCCCCATGTGTACTTTAATATTAATATAAGAGTTCATACTAAGTCAACATATTAATCATTTTGGTGAAGTATAGCTTTTGGTGTTAGTTACATAATCAGATACCCTGAGCTGAGAAGTGTAGAGTGTAATGGTAATTACCTGCCGATTAAGTAGCAACGAAGTGACACTATTGAAAAAAAGTATAAATATGAGCATTATCACGAATCTAGATTTATTTCAAATCAAGTGGGGTATTTTTGACCAATTTCTTGAATGCCAGAAATTTCTCAAAAAATAGTGGCTGTTTATGAAATCTGTGAGGTATTAAAGGCAGTGTTCAAATATTTGTTAAATATATTTATATCTGTGGCTTATCCCAAAGTTTGCAAATATGCTTTATGATTGCTGGTATAATTCCAAACTTTTTCCAAATTAGGTTTACTGGAATTTTATCAACTTTAGGTAGTTATTCTTAAATTTATACTTAAAATTTTTAAGTTTTTGTAGAGATGTAAAAAGGCTCAAGTCACATGGTAGATGTTTATTTGTGACTTAAATTAACTACCTTGTAATAGCCCAGGGACTGTAGTCGACATACATCTTATTTAATTGCTGCATTCTCTCCTCAATGTCATGCAAGTACGCAGATATACCAATTAAACAAAGTTTTCCAGTGCAAAAAGTCAGAATAACCTTGATACCTAGATTACTGCAGACAGTACATCAGGATGATTTATGCACTATTTGTTTGTTTCCACTTATATGTGTTTTGTGTCAATAAGCGGGGATATGCCCCCCCCCCCCCCCCGATCTGTTTCCCCACTCTTGTATGTGTAGGAAATGGGCTAGGGATGGGGCGTTGTGGGGGGGGGGGTATGAAAGAAAAAGAAGGTGTGTTGGGATTATTCAAAATTGCATTTTTCAATCTCAGGATCTTCTTTTTTGATCTTCACTTTTTAAGTCAAATATAGCTCCCCTCGCCCACCCTATATTTAACCTCCCTATATGATAAACATGATTCACCATATATATATTTTTCTGTATTTGCAGGGTTTGCCCATTCTGCATATACATTTGGTATAGAGAGCCATATTAGTCAGTCAAACATCAATGGCTCCCTGGTACCACCAGCTGCCCTACTTAGCATTATACAGAAGGGTCTCCAGTATACAGAAGCAGAGATCAGCATTGGAGAGGTAAGGGAATGTCACATTTGTTTTGGTGACAATGACATACTATACAGTCCCGTAGCCAGGGGGGGGGGGGGTTCGATGGGTCCGAGCTGACCCCCCTTGGCCAAAAACTCTTTCAAAAAATGCAGTTTTTCATCATTCTGTGCACATTTTATAAGTGATTTTGGCCACTTTTGGACCAACATTTCAAAATTTTCAAAAAGTGAACCCCCTTGGCAAATCCTGGCTACGGGCCTGCTATATCTGACATATTCATTAAATTTACATGCTTTTTGTAATGTATATATTGTAGAGTCCTAGAGGGTTATAATGGTACTTATTCACTGTTACCTTCTAGGTTAAATAAAATGATTAAAAAAATGATGATAAATGGACCCCAGGCATGAAGAGCAAGAAGTAATAACCTTAATCCTGACTTGGAAAGAATTATCTCCTATTGAAAGATGGGAGACGTACTTGATTTTTCGTAAAAGCTCATAAGGATTTTACGTGGAATTGCCGTTTTCTACAATGATGACTTCATCTATTATGTAATATGGCTATATGCCAAAATGGGTCTCATGGTACTAGACCTACATTGTAATAAAATGGTCAATATCTGGGCTCTAGGGAAAAAAAACTGGTCATTAATTGGGATATTAAACCAATAACCAGCAGTTGTTGGTACAATAATGTCAGTTAGTATGTTGAGGCAGTTTGATCTTGCATCTATATTTATAGGATTTCTGTTTTTTGACCTGTACAGGCATTCAAATTACAGTAAATCCTGTCTAAGTGGAACACCTTTGGTACCTCTATAAAGTGTTTCACTTGGAAGGTGTTCTACATATGCAGGTTCATTTTACAGCAAGTCAGTTGGTCTTGGGTCTCTACGAACAGAGGTGTTCCACTTTCTATAGGTTTCACTGTATTAGGTCTAGACACATTCTTGCATTCTTGGTCTCAAGGAATCGATCCTTTCTAAATCAACCCCAAAAATTAAAATTCACAATGAAATAAAACAATTTTTATCATTGCATTTAAAAAGGTAATTTTAAATGAACATTGGATATATACTGTGGTTATTATTGTGAAGATCAGGTTTAGTATTCATTGTATCGGGAATTATACAAGTATTCTGAGGTTCACATTCACTAGGTGAGTAAGTGTGTACATAGCCTTTATTCAGGTCATTTACTAGGATGATCGGTCGGAAACTAGTACTAGACCAATACTTTGGCTTGTGATTTTCTTTTCTGTGTTGTCTGTTAGTGATTAATACATAATTTATAAGGCTGATACCCTTTGAAAGAGGTTAATAGTGTCTTCACTCTGTGTCTGTGAATAAATTATCTGTTATTGTCAGAGTGTAGAATGACATTGACTGCCTTATATTATCAAATAAGCATTTTTGACCTCATCATCAGAAGTGATGACATTTTGTTATAGTCTCCAATATTTTTGTTTTGGGTAGTTGGCATTTGGTGTTTGTAACAAATGGCAGGTGGTGACACTTTGCATGTTAATGCTTTGTTGTATGTTGGAAGCAACTCATTTTTTCAGTGAAATGTTTTCAGGGTAAGGTAGTTCTACACTGACAAAAATATGTTGATCTCCCATGTAGGAATGGGGAGGGGGGGGGGGTGGAATCTTAAGGAATTGAAGCAAGTCTACAAGATTTTGCATCTAAATTTTGACATACGAGCTGCTGCTCCACCCTAGCTAATTTCAAATCCAGAAACATCTGTATTATTTGCAAATCTCATTCAATTAATAAATAATTTATGTCATCTTACAAGTACCCTGCGCGCAGAGTCTAGTTAAACTACACTCTGCCTAGTAGAGACCATATTACAGTTTAGTAGCCCCGCCCATACGACGGGTACCGGTGACAGTTTGTGTAATAAATCACTTCTGACCTACGCGCTGACCTTTCTTTCATCAGTCAGCAAGCTTGAAGAAACATACGCCAAATGCGTGCTAATTAAATATGCGCATGTCATTGGTTAATTCCGAGCTCAACGATGACGTCAGAAGGAATGACCATATATAGAACGTCGGTCAAATTTGGCCGACGAACACTGATTGGCGCGGTGAGTTCACAGGTTTATTTTAGTTTGAAAGAGTGAAGACGAAGCTCTCTTTTAAGAAGTGAAGTCAAACGAATGCAAAGGGTATCTTACAAGCAATGTTGTATGTATATCCTGTGAAAATTTCAAGTTAAAATCCCAAGAAACAAAAAAAATAGAGCACTTGGTAAGAAACTTTCTGATCGGGCCTCGTAGAAGTCTAGTTTCTATCCTTTATTCCACATTACATGTAGATTTCTTCCACTTCTATAGTTAACTTTATCCTACCAGTCCAATAGCAGTGTCAGCAAAAAGACCAATATTTTATGAGTGAACTAGACTGATTTTGTATGCTCAGCTAAAATTAAGTAATCTATTACATCATATTGTAAAAGTCATTGCTATATGTATAATGGCCCTTTAATACATTTGTATGTATATGTACTGTAAACCATGTGATTTATTTACTTTCATCATTTATTTTCCCTCGTCATTTAATTTTGATTTTCAAAAAAAAATTTTGTTATAATTATTTTTACTTATTGAATATTGATAGCAATTGATAAGTTTAATTTGAATTACTTTGAATATCAAAACATGTTCAAATTGCCCAATGAAAGGTGTTTTTCAATATCCGAAAATGTGGGGGAGTGTTACATCATAGATAAGTTCAGTATATTTATAGGTGGGAGAGTCCAAGTTTGTTGGAATTTCAGAGCTAAAATGGACTCACCCAATTTGAGTCAATGGTCTTATGAATACCTTTACCTTATAGAAAATTTTGTTTTTCATATTTCAAAATTCTCCATTATATTAACATTTTTGATATGTGAAGAAAATTTGAAAAATGGAAAAGAAAAAAAGTAAATGTTGGGGTAGATCTATGTTATGAGAGTAATGAAATGTTCACGATTATGAATAAAAAACAATGATGTTTTCCGTTACTTTTTTCAAATTATTGTGGATATTTACTCCTTTTAGTCTATTGAACTCATGTTTCAAAATCAAAATATTTTTTAATTAAATGTTGGAATATTTTCCCCAAAATTTATTTTTCAAGTTAATTTGTGAAAGTTTGGAACAACCATAAATTGAACCATAAACAGATGTACAAATTGTATACAACTTTATTTATAAGGGTTTACAGGTATTTTGAAAACGTTTGGTGTGATCCAAGTTGGTCACATGGATTTAGCTGATGTGATCTAAAGAAATACATGTAAAAGCCTCATTCAACACTCAAGCACATGGCAAATTAAACAGTCACATGTTGAAATATATGTAATATCGAATTACTTTGGTTAACTGAGTTTTGGGGAATTTCAGTCCCTATTGGTAGAGGCCGTAATTTTGAGGGTCTTGGACACAGAAAAAATTTGTTTTTCTTCCTAGGGATGTAAATGGGATTATGATCCCTCCCTAGAGGAAAATAAGGCTTTTGGGTTTTCACCTTCCATCTGGACTGGAAAAGAACATAGGTTAACACAATACCCTAGAAAATACACTGTGACATAGAAGGAAAAGCAAAACATGGGCAGAAAATTAAATTATCAAGACAAATGTCAAACTTGTGACAAATCAGAAGATCAGTGTATCCCAAAGTGCACTTACAGTACACTGTATGTAAATATAATAGTGCATTTGCTACCTAGATCAGCTACCCTTGTACTTGGTGATTATTTATTAGTCTGGGCCAGAAAAATTCTAAATAAATCAAGTTGTGTTGGAAGGTCACATCCTAGGTTTCCAAGGTCTTCTGTGGTCCCATCAGACCTATAAAGGTCAGTGATATGTGCTTATCTATGAACCTTGCAAAAGTCCTTGGTTTATAGTGAATGCCCTACATTTCTTAATTTTCTTTATCCTCAACATTGCTCTTTCTTATCCTGTTTGTACAACACTGAAATCAGGAACAACTGAAACGTCATAGATCAACATGTTTGAAGGTCAAGGATATCAACTTGAGGAACCAAACAGGGGGTCATTGATTCATACAAGTCCTATGAAAGGGACCTGTTCTACATGTACTATCCATCTTGATTCTCAAGGTTTTAGTTCCTCCAACTTCACCTTGATATATAACTAGTGTATACAATTCCATTGAAGGCAAACAGATCAGTTCAAGCTTATTTTAATAGACACCTCATTAAAGGGGGTGGCTGAGTATTTAAGCTCAGATTCAGTTAGAAATGGAGTCATTAGTAAACCATTAAATTTGAAAATAACTGAAACTGCTTGCTCTGACAATAAAATAGCCTTTTCCTATAGAATTAATGATCAGATTGCTACATAATTTGTCACATTTGTGTATGAATATACTATCTTCAAATAAATGTACTTATTTCAATCAGAGATATCTTGAAAACACATTAAATCTTCATTTTTTAAACTGCTAATGGGAGGAGTTAACAATTCAAAGTACAGCCAATCAGCATTGCAGAAATTAGTCACATGATACATATAAACAAAGGGACATGGCTGAATGAAAATAGAGAACAATGTTTTCTACTTACCAAACATGTGTAGTATTCATCAATTCAATAACTTAATCCAACAATGCCAATGAGTATATATTCCTTTGATTTCAAATGTTATTGTTTTCTTTTTTCAGATACGGTCATTTGCTTGAGTTTATTGATAATCCTTGAACATGTTCCGTGTTTTGTTTTATACAATATGTTGGTGCTTATAATTGACCTTTTCTCAACATTGTGTATCAAATGCATTTGTATAAGTCACTAAACTGATATTGCTTAAGTTTGCATTTTAATCCCACCAAGCTTGTTATAAAGTCTCTGCTTTATAAATCATCTCCTAAAAGTTCTACTTCGAATAATAACTTTCTGTTTAGTTTTATTTGCTAGTGCTTGAGACATGATGTAGTTGATTTGAGAACTGACATATGGAAGTAAAGGGAAGTAGAGACATCCCCTTATATAATTGAATTGACCATTTTAACATTTTGAAGATGACTCAAATATTCTCATTGAAAATTAGTTTACAGTTTCAAACTGTATGGTTCATGAGTGATATAGGTTAGAGACCAGAACATCCTGGGTTCCGTGTCTCCTAGAAGAATATCTTTCAACAACCCCACTGTATTACTCAACTTTTCCTGATTTTGAACATTTATCATCGTTCTGGTTGTCCTGTGTTTGCTTTCATTTATCTTGATGAAAGGGACATTACATTTCCAGACATTACCCTTGATTTGGGGGGTTGTAGGAAATGTGTCGGTATCTCAAGATTGGTTCATACCATGATCTATAATTTATTTGGCAACTTTTTGAGAAGTTCCCTATCAACTTCTACTGAACTATCCTAAACCAATTGCTAATGACACTCTTCAAGTAGATCCTGATGCTTTAGACATTCAAAGGGGTCATTAGTAAAGTTGTGCTCATCATTTATGGTAGAATAAGAAGATAACAAATTATGGACTTCTTGAAATTATTTGGATAATTAAAAGAATAAAGAAAACTATATCTCAGATGGCTATCTGTAAATAATAATAGTGGTTAAACTAACACCCAATTGTCCTTCATAAACAAGCACCCTACAAGATACAAAACCCCGCCAAATATACCATGTGCATAGCTCATTATGTTCAGTAAATACTGCAGTAATCCATATAAGGAAAGTGAGCCCATCTGTGATAGGCTAATCCTTAATGTTTAATTATGTAATTTTTATCAGCTATCTAATTTTCTTAATGGGCTGCAGGGGGGTACTCGAGCACGGTCTTTAAGGGCAATAAAGTTGTAAGTGAGGCTATTTGCGAAATGAATATTTGGACAAATTTGATTGGTACCATGGTAAAACACTCGGGGGGGGGGGGGATGAACCACCACACAGTAATTGGACAGAAAAATCAGCTATAATTTCCAAGGGGTGTTAACCACTACCCTTTGCATTCGTTTGACTTCACTTCTTAAAAGAGAGCTTCGTCTTCACTCTTTCAAACTAAAATAAACCTGTGAACTCACCGCGCCAATCAGTGTTCGTCGGCCAAATTTGACCGACGTTCTATATATGGGCATTCCTTCTGACGTCATCGTTGAGCCCGGAATTGACCAATGACATACGCATATTTAATTAGAACGCATTTGGCGTATGTTTCTTCAAGCTCGCTGATTGGTGGAAGAAAGGTCAGCACGTAGGTCAGAAGTGATTTACTACCCAAACTGTCACCGGTACCCATCATGGGGGCGGGGCTACTTAACTGTAATATGGTCTCTACTAGGCAGAGTGTAGTTTAACTAGACTCTGCACGCAGGGTAGTTAACCACTTGGAATTCGAAGATGTGTACTATCAACAGTGACAGAAAAACTAGGTTACTTTCACTAGGTTTAATCTGACCTCTCACCTAATATAACGACATTGAAGTTAGTTGAATACTTAAGTCCTCAGCACAAATAAATGACACCTAGATTTTCTATCACCATTTCCAGACCATGGTCATTTGAGACTTATTACTTTCCAATAATGTCTTGATACACATCCCTTGAGTTTTGTATCTCTCATCAACTGGTGGGTAGTCTCTTGAAAATTCTCTTCTTTTTAACATGGGAAATCCTCACTTTAGCAAATCCAGGTGTCATTTATTTATGGTGAGCACTGTAGTAGTATTCAATTTTTTTCAAAACACAGTCAATGATAAGGTTCATATCTGGATCATGACAACTAATGGTTGTTCATGTCATTGCTCCTACTTAGCCTTATATTGCACTCAATAGGAAAGTCAAGGATACCAAATTACCAATATATAAACCAGACCAATAACAATCTCTGATGCTTGAAATAGCTATTAACAATGGTAGTGATCAGACAGTCTATGAAAGGACATGTGATTTTTCATTTTTTGGTTTTCCGAAATATGAAAACCAAGCTGATATGCAATTATACGGTACGCCCGGTATACTGGGTACGCAGAGGCGTAACAGATGGTTGCAAATTCGCTCTAAATACAACCATCTTAGAAATATAGTGCTACGCCCATGACAATAGACTAGATGCGAGTAGACATAATCTTGATTTACGTCATTAAATATTCAAAATTCAGTCAAAGTGATGTCATATTTGAAATCTACATGTAAAAGTACATCTAGAAATATGGTTTCGAAAATTGTTTATCAACTTTGAAAATTAATTTTTTTGAAAGTTTGACTTCTCGTTCGGGTTGATTCCCCATAGACCCAATGTTACAAAATCACAAAAAGTGAAATATTTTTTCTTGTATTGGACAGATAACATTTTCCTTTACTGGACATATTTCAATTTGCATAACTATTAGATACATAAGGGTTATATGAAAATTGAACCACTAAAACAAATGTAATTTAATTTAAAGGGAACTTTCTGCTATACCCGCCATGCTATCTGACCCGAACGAGCCACCTGGTGGTGAAACTGGTAACTACCTACTCGCATCTGCGTTATTTGCCTAAGCAGTAAAAAATCCGGTGTGGAAAACAAAATTGTGGAAAATCCTACCCGTTTCATCAAATATTGGTAAAATGACATGAAATTGTCATCATGTAGATACTTGTATGAAGGATGGAGTTGAATAACCTCCTACTCATCAGAACCCTTTATGTTTACACCAATGTAAAATGTTGATGTTTGTGTGAACAGGGAAGTACATGCTCCAAGAGTACATGCTGACCTAGTTCAGTGGCTGTGGTAAAATGCTAAATATAATTTGATGAATGCTATCCCTCTTGAAGTTTATCTGAGGTTCATTTGTGGTAAAGACATTGACCTCATACCATTTTGAACCTTTTCACTAGCTATTCAGGATGAACAGCTAATGTGGATTGATATGAGGTTACACTAACCTTCTATGAACATTAGATAGTCATTCAGCAATGACCCAATAGCTATGAAGGTTCAACTGGGATATCATTAAACCAATGATGAACATGCTCTAGACTTTCTGAAATGACATTTCCATTAAGTATACATACAGCAAGGGTTCAGTCAAAGGTACTCTGATAAGCCTCCATAAATCAATATGAGGCTTAAGTACCCAACTGAACACTATCTAGCTTTTCAAATGCTCTGAAAATACAGCAGATAATGTGTTATTGCTTTCATGAAATGTTAACCCTTTTAGGTCCACATCTTGGATATTAACTATTAGCATACCATGTACTGTGTGCTATCTGGGAAGTGATCTTATCTCACCTTTGCAAATTAATCGGCTTCACAGATATTTTCTTCTACAATTACTAATGAGAATTGTCAGTTGCTGTTATTACAAAAGCAGATTTCATAAACAGAACAATTAGAAAACCATTCTTCTTGTTATCCCAGTTTTGATATCAGGAGACTGATTATTGTTGCTGTGGTTACTTTATTGTGGCATCACCATGCCAACCTCTGTGACCAGAGCTGCAAACTGTGCAATTGAAAAACAAAAGAGATGGATATTTGAGAATGGATCTTTCTTTCTCTCACATCCTAACATTTAATAGTGTTCCAGGCCGTAGCCAGGAATGCAGGCCCAAAGCCAGGAACGCAGGCCCAAAGCCAGGAACGGGGGTAAGGGAACCTCAGTGAACCCCCTCCTGGCAAAAAATCTTTAAAATCATGCAGTTCTTCACCATTCTGGGCACCTATTCAATTGATTTTGGGCCAGAGTTATCAAATGTGAACCCCCCTTGGCAAAAGCTGGGTCTTTAGTGGTTTGACCTGCTGAACCTGTTCATCTCCATGGCAACTGTTTACTCCATTCCCATTTCATTCAAGAAATAGGTCAACAGACCTGCACCATTAATCTCTTGCACACCATGGATTTGTTCTTTCCTAGTGCTGTGCCACAAAACTTCCTCTTCCTTTTACCAATTCTTGTCTGCCTGCTAACCATCCATCACCTCATTTCATACTACATGTACTCATTGAATTGTACACAGTTGAGATTCTTTTTAGCATGGTTCAAGCACTTTTTTAATTACACTTTTCAAAGTGCTCGATTGCTGCCATCTCGTGCTGTTGAGTGTGCATCTGTCTGGGCAGCCAGGTGGTAGACACCGCATAAATTTTGTCATTGAAATATCCACTTGAAATATATGGAACAGCAGCCAAATGTGTGTTTTGTTAATTATGTTTTTTTGTGGTTCATTTTAACACCAAGGCCTTCCCCAGGGGTTGGGGCATGAGTTAGGTTCAAATCTTTTTAGATTTCGTTTTTGGAGAAAATCCTTGCTGAAATTGAGTGAGAGTGACACAAGGAATTGATTTGACCTTTGATGCATTATTGCAGTCTAGTCTTCATAATACCAATAATGAATGCTGTAGGTGGATAAAACTAATGGATTTCATGACTGTGTTTGGTCAGGGCCTGACTATTATAGTGACATCTATATATCTAGACGATGTATTGTAAGCTTCTTTCAATTTCCAAAACTAGAATTTCTTTTTTTCAGACACCAATCAGGGCTTGTGCTAAGGGCCAGTTCACTGGTCATTTCTAAATATGATATTTTACTGTGTTTCAGGATGGAGCCGAGAGAGTCATTGAGTCATATTTTCTAAATATGATATTTTACTATGTTTCAGGATGGAGCCGAGAGAGTCATTGAGTCATTGTCATTGATTGATGCAGTAAGCCTGATGCTGTGGAGTCATTGAGTCATATTTTCTAAATATGATATTTTATTTTGTTTCAGGATGGAGCTGAGAGAGTCATTGAGTCATTGTCATTAATTGATGCAGTAATGCCTGATGTTGTGGAGTCTAGGAAGCAAGCAGCACAGAAAAATCATCAAATAAAAACAGAGCCAACTAACACAAATGGGGAAGAGGGTTCACATTCATTAAGTAAGTATATGTACTTTAATCATTAAGTAAGTACTGTAATCGTGAAAACACAAATATTTTTGGATCTTGGTTCAGCGGATCATCCCACTGACAAATTTGCTAATATACAGTATACCCTCTTTCCTTAGCTATGATACTGTGAACATACTCAAAGTTTCACGAGGCCTGCTTAATACATGTCCAATTTATTGCCTTAATTTGAGGAAGGATGTTAGCTAAAAACAGGAAAATAAGCTTTTTACAAGGCTCTGATAGGATATATTTGGAAATCACAAACCAAAAAAGTGAAGTTTGTACATGATAACTTGACAAGTTGATCTATTTCAAATTTTATACTTTCAGCAAATCATACAGAAGAAAATATGGAAATAGATGGCGCTCTAGAAATCCCCAGCAGTAAAGCAACTGTCTTGCGGGGCCATGAGTCAGAGGTGTTCATCTGTGCATGGAATCCTGCCAATGATCTTCTAGCTTCAGGGTAAGTGTTTCCTGGCTTCTGATTGGCTGATACCACCTGCCATTTATCTCTCCTTGGTTTTGATTGGCTGAATTATCTCTACCATTTTTCTTTCCTTGGTTATGATTGACTGATGTGTCCTTCTTTCATATTGACTGTATTGGGTTGTATTTTAGCCATTGAAATATCAGGGCAACTCTTAACCTTGCAACTGGGCTCTGATTGGCTGAATTGGAATACTGTGAATGCAGTCAACTGAAATCCAGCTACCCAATCAAAATAGTACCCACGAAGTTTTACGCTTTCATATTTAGACACTTTAGACTCTAGAAAATGTGTAAGACTCCTGAGGAAGAGAGTCTAAAGACATTCAGGCCTGTCAACTGTCCCGCAATTTGCGTATTTGTCACGCATTTGCTGAAGAATTTGAAGTCACGCCAGTTATTTTTGCGTGACAGAAAATGTCACGCAAATACGCATTTTACCTGGTAATTGTCAAGCAAAAATATTTCTGTAGAAAATTTTTTAAAAAAGATCGTCTACACAGCAAAAATACGAACGCCGAAAAAAAAACGTACGCATATCGTTCAGACTTTTCACGCGAATTACGTATATGTCACGCATTCTGTTCGAAATTTTTCGTACCTACCCCCCTGAAGCCCTGTGATCTGAGGATGGAGAATCTCTGGAGTCTACAAGCCTCGTGAGAACCCAGCATCAAAATTGTTATCTTGAAGTGCATAACATTTTCAGTAAATCAATATACCTTGTAAATAATTTAGTACTTCCTAGTTTCTGTAACAACCTTAAACCACCCACATTCTTAATGGTAATAGAATACTGATATTGATTATTGATTACCTGCAAAATAAAGGTAAAAAATACTTGACTGCATTCTTGGACTAGTATTGATTACACACCTCAATTTTGGTAGCCATCTGTGCTTTTTTCAAGACAATTTGTTGTACTGGCCCAGTTCAAGACCCATTGACCCACTTTTAGTATAACATCTACTTTAAGGACTATATTGGCCTCTATTGAGATCGACTCCTCTTGTTAATGGACTTAAATCTTAAAGGAGGACATTTATTGAGTCACTTTAGAGTTATTTGCTTGATCAATCCTGTGATCGGCACAGAATAAAAAGTTATGTTTTAATTCGACAGATATATGATATTTTAGGAATTTTCATAGGAATTCTTCTTTTGGTGTTGAGGTTTCTTTCTGAACATACCTTGGGAATAATAATGTTGATTTAAAAGGTCCTTATGAGAGATTAGTAATTCTAGTCTCATGCCTTGACAAAATTTTATACAAAATTACCTGGATTATAAAGATGTCTAATGATAGTATTATGTCCCATTTAGTTTAACTTTGCCTCGACTTTGTTTATTTGCCTCGACTTTGTTTATTTGCCTTGCCTTTGTTTATTTGCCTCGACTTTGTTGTGTTGCCTGGACTTTGTTTATTTGCCTTGACTTTGTTTATTTGCCTGGACTTTGTTTATTTGCCTCGACTTTGTTCATTTGCCTCAACTTTGTTTATTTGCCTCCACTTTGTTTATTTGCCTCAACTTTGTTTATTTGCCTCGACTTAGTTGTGTTGCCTTGACTTTGTTTATTTGCCTCAACTTTGTTCATTTGCCTCAACTTTGTTTATTTGCCTCCACTTTGTTTATTTGCCTCAACTTTGTTTATTTGCCTCGACTTTGTTGTGTTGCCTTGACTTTGTTTATTTGCCTCCACTTTGTTTATTTGCCTCAACTTTCTTTATTTGCCTAGTTTCAATATGTCACCACCACTAGTAGTATCCAACTTTTTTGTCAAGGTCGTGAACTTTCTTGTCCTAGATTTCTCAACTTTTACACAAGGAGGATTGGCTCCCAGGATCGAAACTCGATATTTTCCAACAATGAAAACGTCGAAATGTCGTTATTTTCTGAAATTAAAACCGACTATAAATTCAAAATAAACAGTTCAAAAGATTCGAACCAATATCTCGATCGTTTCTTGTGAGTTTTGGAATTTTTCGTTTGGAAATAAGACCAAAATTCACGATTTAAATGTTGAAGTGAACAAAATGGCGGCTGTTTGAATTCGAATTTTGTATTACGACATACCCATATATGGGACAGAATATCGGTGGTGCACTCTGGGAGCCAATCCTCCTTGACTTTTACATGACTTTTACATGAAAAATTATGATCTGTCATCAAATTAAAAAAAACAAGGTATAACTTTAGATCGATATCTAACAGTCTATAGTGGAAATATTGAGGATAATCGCGGAAAACAATTCCTTCATTTAGTAATATACTAGTAATAAAAAAGATACATAGATTGTTAAAAATTTTAAAATGTTTGATTGATAAATGTCTTCGGAGTGCCTTCGTGCAGGCCTGAAATTGTTTCATATCAAATGTGACATAAATACCAGAAATACTTAATATAGTTCTGATCGGATATAAAATTCGACTGCGTCATAGACTGTCTGCAACTGACTTCCAAGAATGTAATAGCATAAGGTTCATTTTGTCTCATATTAGTTTAGAAATAGACATCAATGACCTTTATATATCGCTGATATGATACAAAATTCTAAGAATTTCATTATAAGAATCTAGTTACTAACAGATTGCCCCATATTCTCCCCACTGTCCCATATTCTCCCCATATTCAATCGTTGTACTAGTTAAAAGATGTACAGAGACTTTGTTAGGGACTCGATTCCCAATATTGGACATGTGATCTAATTAGGGAACACTGTTCGTATATTTCAACCAATTTACAATCATGTAAAATCGTTACGAGACACCCTTTCAGTATAGTGCACAACACGGGTCGTGGACAATTTTCCTCATTGTGATGCATTGAATGTATTAGCAGTCCCATTTTACGTGTTCGTGACATGATTGAAAATTCATAATATTAATTATATATCATCTTATTAATTAATAACCTACTTTAACTAATGAAAGTATATTTATGGCATTCATGAAATCATTTTCTGTGTGTGTAGTTTTGTGTCAAGGTAACCGATCGATTACCCTGTATTTCCAGTTGCTTGCTACCCTTCCCTCTGATAACTGTTATTTTAGTATAAATAAAGCCATTATTGCGTGCAGTGTAGCTGTAGTGGAGCTGTCACACTTAGACCATGTGGGCTCTCTAATCGCCACGCGTGAATACTTTGGGCCAAATGGCAGGGCGAGACATGGATACACGGTTTGCGAAACTAATAATTTTGCAGCAATTTATCCCCATCACACCAAACACTAAAATTAATTAATTAAAAATTAAATCCCAAATTAGCTACACGGTGGTGATTTTTACCTCATTCTTTATTGCAAATAGGCTAGATTTGTATACGAGTTATCTTTATGGTAAAGAGTTAAGAGGAAGTCCAATTTTTGGGAAGAGTACTGTTTTAGTGTCACTATGACTGATTGCTCTGTTGAAAATAGATGAACTATTTTCTGCCTTACCTTGTCAATTCCCCTGCAAAAATGTTCGCTATTTTCTGCCTTACCTTGTCAATTCCCCTGCGAAAAAGTTCACTATTCGAAACTCATCGAACCCCCCCTGGCTACGGGCTTGAATGTGCCAGTTTATATATAGTAAAGATAGTCTTGTCTTGCTTCAAGCCTTTCTGGGGAAGCAGATAGGAAGGAGGGGGGGGGGTTCAGACTATAAGACTACAGTTAAACTTTACAAGTGAACACTACTAGTAATGCTGGTCCCTAATCAGGGGGGAGGCTCGCCCTTGATATTTCCTAAAAACAGGGAGTTGGTTTGGCATGGAAAATTTAAAAAGTTTAAGTGGAGGGGGAGGGTCAGGTCCCTCCCCCTGATCAAAAGCTGATTACGGGCATTTAATGCCAAGTAGAAAACCATCATAGTGTTCATATAAACAGGTGTTTGAGTGACAAACAGAGTATCTTATGTATTTCTAGGGGTTAACATTAACGGTTAACGTTAACGGTTATAACTAGGGGTTAGGTATAGTAGAGTGTCTATATTGTTGATTGTCATAATGTTGACAGGTCATGATAACATCGTATAAAAAAGTATAGATTTTTATTATTTTTAATATATTATCCTAGATAGCTGTTGGCTTAAAGGTATGATGTCATTATGAGCGGAAAATGAATACATTTGAACGGGATTGTCCTTGTTCACCCGTACATAAAATGAAACATACATTCAAGAAAAAATGGTCGTCAGGATTGAAATACAAATCAGAGTACAACCTTTTTATTATGATAAGGGAAAACACATGTGAAAACAATTGACATTGTCAGAGGTAATTAGCCAAATGAGTCCCTTATTAACACATAATGTAAGCTAGGAGAGCATGGATATTGGTTATCGGCAGGATGTCACTGTGACGGTTTTCTTTGATAGATAACTCAGTCATTGAAGCCTTTGGGCATCTTACCCCTGCTTGTTATGTCAAAATGTCTTTATTTCCTATATCTTGAGATTTATCCAAGATCTGCAACTAAAAAAACAATTTCTGTTCTCAGTTTTGGAGATTCATGCAACAGTGAAGATTTTAACTGTAATAGTGCCATTTATATTTCAACCAAATAGTGCCAATAAAATAGTGCTCATTATTTTTCTGTTCTCATCTTTGGAGATTAGTGCAACAGTGAAGATTTTAACTGTAATAGTGCCATTTATATTTCAACCAAATAGTGCCAATAAAATAGTGCTCATTATTTTTCTGTTCTCATCTTTGGAGATACGTGAAACAGTGAATTTTTTAAAGATCTAATAGCAAAGGTTTTGCAAAAATAAATCAATGTAGTATAAAACAAATGTATGTATTATGAAGAAATAAATATATAATGAAAAAAATAGATATGTGTTTGTAATATTGGTATAAACTTAAGATTAAAAAGTGTCACTATCTCTTTCATTTTTCAACAAATATAGGCTCACGTGACATGTGACGCGGGGCAGTCAATTTTGATCTATCGTAGACCATATCAGTATCAAATTACTGACATTTCAACCTCGTCTTGCGAGGCCATTTTGATTTGAAACATCTTGAATTTGGTGTCAAAATGAAGCTGGTCACGCCCACTTTCAGAGTTATCAATGAATCATTTACTACGACTACTATATTCATTTAGGAGGCGTGTAAAGTTAACCAATCAGAAAGACAATTGTTCCATATATGGCAGTTCATTAACATATTCAGTGTTTACTACTGCTTTTCACGTCATGACAACACGAGTAGTAACCAATCAAGATGCCGTATTTTATCACGTGAGTTCAGAGTGACACGCACGCGACATGTTGTCTGGGGTGATCGCGATGTTGAACAATTTCTTCTCGGAATTTGTCCAGAGAAATCAGCGATTCTAAATTAAGGTAGGATCTGCCATTTTTTCCTGTACAAGTTATAACTTATCTCTATCGAATCCTAAAGTTTTGGAAGAAGATATGAAGCGTAGGTTTAAAAACGAAGCGATTAATTTGACGATCTGATTTTGCAATTTGCAATGGCCAATTTACTGCAAGTCCAGTGCATGTATTTGACAAGAGATAGCGCCAAGTCTGGTATCTAAATGCTTGTTAAGCCACTCAAAAACAAGATCCATATCTTCTAAATTTGATAACTTTGCAGAAAACCTGTTTTCATAATCTGTTTTCCGCGTCTAGATTCAAACTGAGTATGATAATAGTATCGCTTCAGTCAATGGCAACGGGTCTTCATTCCAGAACTCACATTTTTAGTTGATTCTCCGTCATATCCTTAAATTGTCTTCATTCAAATTACACCCTCTCGCCGATTTATATAGTCATTTCCCAGAACCCGGGAATCAGAATCGCTGATGTTTGCCATATTGAACATATTATATGTACTGTAATATCTGTACATTGACTGCTACGTGTAATGGTCACGTGACTAGCGCGATACAGGAAAAATGGGGAATTTCGAAACAACAATTTTTGGGCACTTTTATTGCAAATTTCAGGTATTTATAAAGTGTTTGTGGTATAAAATATAATCCACAGACATAAATGAACATCCAAACTACATATTTCATTAAGTTTTGGAGCCTTTTTTGCTCTTAAATCAACATCTTTAACTAATAGTACCAGTCAAATAGTGCCATTTATATTTCATTTCAACCAAATAGTGCCAGTTTACTTTCTAATTTGTTTCTCATTTAACGATTGCTTATTTGTATTTTCAGATCTGGAGATTCAACGGCGAGGATCTGGAACTTAAACGACAACAGTAATAGTGCCAACCAATTAGTGCTCAGACATTGTATACAAAAAGGTGGGACGGAAGTCCCGAGTAATAAAGATGTAACTTCTCTCGATTGGAATGTAAGGCTGAAATTATATTCTATTTTCTGTAATTCATATCGTTTAAAGGAGTTTGTGCTATTTTGTGTCCTTATGCTTTCTGAGTGCTTTTTTGCCGCACGGCACATATTTGTTGCGATCTTCTCAACATTAAAGCAAGATGGCTCTGTTCAATTTTCGAGAAAATACTTGTTCCTTCCTGAACATTCATTTGCATCCACTTGGAAAAAAAAAAATTTAAGTCTTTTGACCATAAGCTACAATTCCAGATATAGAGAATTTTGCACCCATATAGGAATAAATCAAGGAGATACCAGTGGTTTCTAAAAAATTAACTGACCAATTAAAATTGTTCTTGTATTTTAATGCCACATACTACATGGCAATATAATGAAGATTTCTACTATTCCATGAATGAATTGAATTGAATTTCTGTTCCAGTGTGATGGTACTTTACTAGCGACTGGGTCATATGATGGCTATGCCAGGATATGGAGTACAGATGGTAAGATATCATATTCCATCCCTTGATATCAATATTATCCTTCCCTTATCTAGCCACAGGGCTGAATACAACCATTAGGACATAACTCTCCATATAACTTTGAAAGATATTTTTACTGCACTTTTAAAATGCTATATTATCATTCTCTTACATGGATAGGCGTGTTGGCAAGTCGCACAAGAAATATTTCCATGATATCGAGAAATCTGTTTAACTTGAAATTTTTACGGATGCGGAAATACAGCTAATGCCAAGATCTGGTTACCTTTTGTGAATGCTGGGTAAATGACAAGGTGGCCATTTTGAATTTCAAGTGCGATCTTTATAAATCACTCTATGTCTTGCTTAATGTTAAATGTCAACAACCCTTGTGTAATGAAATATATTACTATACAGTACACTACACCATACCATATCATACTATATTATACTCTATTTGTTCTAGGTCGATTAAATAGTACATTAGGCCAACACAAGGGTCCTATATTTGCTTTAAAATGGAATAAAAAGGGCAACTATATACTCAGTGCAGGTGTAGATAAGGTAAGAAGAAATTCCTTGGTGGACATGTTTTTAAATCCAAAATAGAGTGAAAAAGAGTGGAATTAGCAAGGAATAAAGTTACCAGGCATGTAGTTAATACTCTAAATTGTATAGAAATACAAGAAAATCAGACACTTTTCTAATGTGCTTACCGAAGACAACATTTGAAAAATGTTTATATTTATGAAATACAACCTAATTTTTTTTGACTTCCCAATACATGGTCTTGATTAAACATGAATTGGAAAATTAACTTAATATTGATATGAGACGAGATCTTCTTGATGACCATTACATCTGCAATTCTTTTTAAATAAATATGATTCATTTTATATTTCAGACAACTATTATATGGGACGCCAACACAGGTGTTTGTACTGTGTGTTTTTATATTTCAGACAACTATTATTTGGGACGCCAACACAGGTGTTTGTGGGAGCCAACATAGGTGTTTGTACTCTGTGTGTTTTTATTATATTTCAGACAACTATTATTTGGGACGCCAACACAGGTGTTTGTACTGTGTGTTTTTATATTTCAGACAACTATTATATGGGACGCCAACACAGGTGTTTGTACTGTGTGTTTTTATATTTCAGACAACTATTATATGGGACGCCAACACAGGTGTTTGTACTCAGCAGTTTGCATTTCACTCTGGTAAGATTATTTATGAAATAAAGTTTTAAAACTATACTAATGAACGATTGATTTAAGTGATTTAACGATTGGAGTTCACCACTGATTATGCCATGAGTGCAATTATTTAATACCATGTCAATAATTCCAGGGGCGTAGCCAGCTTTCAGTCAGGGGGTGCAATTGTGGCTTAAACAAGCCAAAAAATAAGATTTTGAATTTTACAAACATTTCTTCAAAATTGAGCTAGAAGCTTCAAATAAAAAGCATTTAAAGCTCTTTTCTTCTTCTTTCTCATGGTTTAATTTTTACTCATTATGGGGGGAGGGGTGCTATGATGTCTTGAAATTTGGATTTGCTCTTCAATAAAATAAAATAAATTTTAGATTATTTAGTAGAAATTTTCCACATATACATACTGTATAAGTTATGTTTTTTGGTCACCCTGTACATCGGAATAAGGTGGAGAAATCAAAGTAATGGTGAATGAAAGTAGTGTGGGAAAATCCAATAATTCTGTGAAGATTTTTCATGGTTTGAAGAAATACCAAGAAATTTTCATGCTTAACTGTCTTTCCATTATCAGAGGTTTCACGAGAATTTCTCACAACAGGCTAAATAAATGAAAACAACATGCAAAATTAATGGAAATCATTAATTTGAAAAGTCCCTAAAAACAACATCCGATTTTGCAAAAACAACCGGTGAAAATCACCTAATGCCTGCTGCTAATGAAACCCCTGATTATAAAAGTACATTTACTATGTTTGTTTTGATTTACATTTCAGCCCCTGCGCTGGACGTAGATTGGCAGAGTAACAATAGTTTTGCGTCATGTTCTACAGATCAGTGCATACACGTCTGCAAACTGGGTGTTGATCGACCAATCAAATCATTCCAGGGTCATAGAGTAAGTGCGAACCAATCAAACCACTTTTTTACGAGAAAATTATTTAATATTTTCATCAATTGGTCTTAATAAATTCAACAATTATTTTAATGTTGTCTGTGATGATTGCGTTTAAGCCACTCCCCATGACTACCAAACCTATATCATGACTACCGAAGCAATACCATGACTACTGAAGTTATACCATGACTACAGAAGCTATACCATGACCATATACCATGGCATACTGAAGCTATACCAAGACTACCAATGCTATACAATGACTACTTAAGTTGTACCATGACTACTGAAGTCACACCATGACTTCTGAAGTTATATCATGACTACTGAAGTTATACCATGACTACTGAAGTTATACCATGACTACCGAAGCTATACCATGACTACTGAAGTCACACCATGACTTCTGAAGCTATACCATGATTACTGAAGTTATACCATGACTACTGAAGTTATACCATGACTACCGAAGCTATACCATGACTACTGAAGTTATACCATGACTACTTAAGTTATACCATGACTAGAAATGCTTCCCTGAATGTGTCATGTCATTCCATTGTAACCCAAATTTTCATCCTTGGTCCGATTGTATTTCGATTTCTTCTATAAGTTGGGACAGTGATGTACATATCCCTGGTGCACAGTTTTAATCCATTTAATGGTGTCATAAAATAATACCATATTAATTTAATTTCAGAATGAAGTAAATGCCATTAAATGGGACCCCCAAGGGACTTTATTAGCCAGTTGCTCTGATGATATGACTTTGAAGGTATGTGAAAAATGTGTCCTAGGAGTCACGTGTTTGAAATGTAAAATTGAGTACAAAAGAGTGGAATTAGCAAGGAATAAAGTAAACAGGCATGTAGTCAACACTCTAAATTGTATAGAAATGAAAGAAAATCAGACACTTCATTCAAATTTTAGAGAGAAAAGTGTGAAATAGGCATGAGCAGATAGATGTTTTAATGAAAACTTAAGATGTTTAGAAGTAAAGTGTGAAATAAGCAAAAAAATGTGTAGTATGCTTATAAACACCATGCATTCCATTTGTATACTGTTACAATCTTTGATCAACATAATCAGCATAATCGAAATTAAGATAGTGGTTGTGAAAAGATTTCTGGCCAAACGTTATGTGGCTATTGTATAAGAACATCCTATAACTTTGATTCCATTGAATAATTAATATCTTTTTTTATTCCCAGTGTAAATGTTTCGTTCAAGTTAACCCCAGAAAGAAGCCACCTAACTGCACACAAGCAAATATGATTACATTATATTCTTAGTAGCTGTATTCAAATACAATTACCATGGCCTCATGAAAGTTCTTTGAAACTCCAGGTCAACTCGACCTCTAATTGTCCCGTTTGTAATTGAGTACTATTAGTGCTGTTAGTGCAATTATAGTTTAACATACATCATCAACTTACATAATAAATATTCAGTTGAGCATTTGTCCCAGTTTCAGTTAATAACATTTCATTTTCTTGGAATGTTTGATGGTGTACGTGGAATGTTTGATGGTGTACGTGTACTGAATAAGAGATTTTAATAAATTCCCTGTTGCTTTGAAAAATAAGCAGGGACAAAATTTCAAAAATCAGTCAAGTTTACAGTTTGTCCTTTTTGGGTCATATGATGAGTATATGGAATTTTCCGTTATTGATTCTGGAGATTTTGGGGTATTTCATGCACCAAACAAAGAAATCTAAAGAAACTTGCTGAATTATGTAGAGCCACTGGATCAATGCCTGAAAATTTGGGTATTTTTGATATAGAGATGAAAGATGTAATTAAGCGATTTCATTTTGAGTTCATTTTCATTTCTTTATTGCATATTTTCAACGAATTTTTATTCATTTTGATGAGAATTGTATGCTTTCATGTTTTATTGTACACTTTAATAAGAATTGCACATTTTCATGTTTTATTTTATACTCATATAAAAATTATACATTTTTATGTGTTATTGTACATTTTAGTAAGAATCGTACATTTTCTTGTTTAATGTACATTTTAACATTTTCATGTTTTTTTCAGGTTTGGAGTATGAAACAAGACACATGCTTACATGATCTTCAGGCTCATAATAAAGAAATTTATACAATAAAATGGAGCCCGACTGGGCCTGGTACAAATAATCCTAATTCTCCACTTATCCTCGCTAGGTAAGAACGTTTTATAATTTTTCTGTAAAGGCAAAAAAACTAAAACCTTAATCATTGTATTTAGGGCCTACTCTTAATAAGCTCCCACCCCGCTTCAAAAATTTCAAATCGAGAAATGACCAAGTATGAGAAATACATCAGAAAAAGATTGAATTTCTAAAGACGTCAAGTGGGTGATAATAGAGCACTTTCACAAAATGCTGTAAAAGTGACGCTAAATACTGAAAATAAGATGGTTGAAAATCTCATCCTAATAAACTGTAATATAATATTTTAACTTCGACTTAACCTTTGAAAATATCATAGCCTGATATTCCATTTATCGCACCCTTGGGTGCTATATTGTGTTTTTTATGAAAACCTCAAGATTTTGAAAGAATTTTTGGCCAGGGTAGGGTGTTTGATCATGCCTCTTATCACATTCACATATGTGATAATTGTTATGTGATAATTGAGATGTAATTTGAAACGGGTATTATTCTGGCTTCTAAATATATCAAAACAGACAAACAACACACATGCTAATGATGATTAGCAAGTATTATCACGAATTATCACCATGGTGACTATTATTGATATTTAAAATCAAAGTGTACTTGTTAATAACCCAGTGATACGCAATAACAACCCATAAGTTCAAATATGAGACAACAGTCGATCACAATTGAACAATGAAAATGAATCATGAAAAATTGATATGTACACACCTACTATTTAACTAGCCTGCCATCTATTGTTAACCAACTGGATCACCATGGTGTCTTAAAAAGACTACTTTGCTAAAAAGATCAATAGTAGCACATTTCCTTTCAGTCTTATCTACAGTGTTGTTTATTTCAGTGCTTCTTTTGACTTGACAGTGTTTCTTGTTTATTTCAGTGCTTCTTTTGACTTGACAGTGTTTCTTGTTTATTTCAGTCAGTGCTTCTTTTGTCTTGACAGTGTTTCTTGTTTATGTCAGTGCTTCTTTTGACTTGACAGTGTTTCTTGTTTATTTCAGTCGGTGCTTCTTTTGACTTGACAGTGTTTCTTGTTAATTTCAGTGCTTCTTTTGACTTGACAGTGTTTCTTGTTTATTTCAGTGCTTCTTTTGACTTGACAGTGTTTCTTGTTAATTTCAGAGCTTCTTTTGACTTGACAGTGTTTCTTGTTTATTTCAGTGCTTCTTTTGACTCTACAGTTCGTCTATGGGACGTTGACAGAGGTGTTTGTATTCATACGTTAACCCAACACCAAGAGCCTGTATATAGTGTAGCATTCAGCCCGGATGGTCGTTTCCTCGCCAGCGGCTCTTTCGACAAATGTGTCCATATATGGAATGTACAGGTAAGAATTGTGGTGATTTAAATGTTTAGAATATTAATTGTGAAGTAACAGTGGCTTAAATGACACAAAATTTGCCCCTTAAAGAAATTTTATTTAACTTGTAGCCTCCAGATACAAGCCCATTGTCTCATAATTGATCCTCTGAACTTGTTTTTGTTTATTCAGAATCTAAAAGATAATATACAATTTATATGTAAGAGAGGTTTGATATGTGTAAACTTATGCATGTTTTTATCATAGATATCTGTATACTTTATTATTTTACATATGCTTTATATTCATATGATAGATTACTAATTAATAGAAGTTAGAAAGAAAAATCTATAAAAATGGAATCGTATTGTAAATTGCTACCATTTTAAACAACTTTGACAAGACAGGCCATGTCTATGTTATATTAAATTTCATTTACCAAGACATGTCTATTTTGATTGTGTATCTAGGTCTAAGGTCTTAAAATAAGGTACAACCCAACAAACTTCTGCCTCCCTGCCTCCACTCCTGGTGGTGACTTATTGTTATAGTCTCAAATTTTTTGTGGACATTCAGCAGTTGGCATTTGTAACAAATGGCAGGTGGTGACATTTTGCATGTTAATGTCTTATTTTACTGACCTGATTTAATTTTCCAGTGGTTCGACATTCAGCATCTGTAACAAATGGCAGGTGGTGAGATTTGTATTTTAATGGCTTGTTTTAATGATCTGATTTAATTTTCCAGTCTTGTTCTACATTTGGCATCTGTAACAAATGGCAGGTGGTGACATTTTGCATGTTAATGTCTTATTTTAATGGTCTGATTTAATATTCCAGTCTGGTGCGTTAGTACACAGTTACAAGGGAACTGGGGGAATATTTGAAGTGTGCTGGAATCACAGGGGAGACAAAGTAGGAGCAAGCGCTTCAGACGGTTCAGTAAGTACCCTATAAAGAAATGTTTGGACTCATTAGGAGCTTATATATGGGGGTAGGGGCCTTGTGGAAAGAACACATCTGTCAAATCCAGGCATTCTCATGGCCAGGAGTAAAAAAGCTAGAATTATAAAAACTTAAAAAGGCAATTGGCAAAACTGGTAAAATGAGCAAAATGTGGCATACCAAGGAATTGCATTTGAAATATGGGAAAACATTTGAAATATGGGAAAACATGTTACTCTTCACTTTTAGTTTATTTCTTGAGTTTTTGGACACAATGACATCTATTTTCTATTTTTCTAGTTACTTTCTGGTGTGAATGACTAAAGACTTGTTGCATTTAAATTAACTGACCTCATATCATATCAAGTTTCAATTAGACAGCAAAACAAGTCATTGAATATCTTTTGAATTTCAGGTTTTCGTGCTAGATCTTAGGAAATAAATGAACAATAGAGGGAGCAGTTTTCCATCTGTGAGTAGAGAAGAGGAGAGACTGACCTGGTTCAGACAGCCACCAATAGATGGCTCCAAAGCAAAATGAATAGCCTCAAAGCCAAACTCATAAGGCTGATAGCAGCAGTACAGAACAGAAACATGAGCGATTGCTTTGAGAATATATTTTGAAGAAATGTGATTGGAGGAAATCAGGAATGAATATGAATATGTACAGTTCTATTTTTGAGTTGGAAGGATGTGATAATGTGCTTAGCAGTATAGGGTAAAGTCACATCTGACATATAGAGGGCTCTCAGATCAGGGCATGGTAAAGTCACGTCTGACATATAGAGGGCTCTCAGATCAGGGCATGGTAAAGTCACGTCTGACATATAGAGGGCTCTCAGATCAGGGCATGAGTCACATCTGACAAATAGAGGGCTCTCAGATCAGGGCATGGTAAAGTCACATCTGACATATAGAGGGCTCTTAGATCAGGGCATGGTGCATTGTAATGGGTATGCTTTCCCCAACATAGATCACAAAGTCACACATTGGTATGTATGCAATCAATGGAAAAACAGAATCACAGAAAACAAAACACTTTTTGGTACTTGTTCTTGCAGTTTAGTACATACAAGACAGTATATTGCTAAAATGTTTGTTAGAAGTGGAAAGAATGACATTTTGTCTTTCATGGTTGCAATGTTTCACTGGGCTGTGTTTTAAGGGGAAGCGTGACAGGGGGGTTGACCATTATCTTGGGACCTAAACTTATGAAAGTTTTCTGTCTCTCATTCATTTTTAAACAATTTTAGGGTTAGGCTGGAGAAAAATGTACTTGCACATTGTTTTGGTAATTCTGTACACGTACACTAAAATATGGTTGTTCAGAAAAAATAGCTTTCAGAAAAAAATGATCTTGATTTTTATTGTTAAATAGTTGAAAGTTTGGGTTCCCCAAGATGTAATGGTTCACTTCCTAAGAATGAGTTGGCATGTTGTTTTCAGACAGCTGCTTGATGGTAGTAGTAACATAGTCCAAACAACCAGTGATTGTTGTTTGGCTCTGTCAAAACAATCAGGAGTTGATTCACTTGCAGTTCAAACAAATTGAATATAGCTTCCTGGAAGTTGATTGTGTAATATCAAAGTTCAAACAATTTTGATGAGTTTCTTAATTATGTTTCCATTAAGTCCAAGCAAGAAGTGATTGCTTGATTAGTCCAAGCAATAGGAAATTGATTGATTGACTATTCCAAGCAAACAGAAATTGAATTTCTGACTATATCAAGCAACATACATTGATTGTTTGACTAGTCTAAGCAATCATATATTAATTGTTTGACTATGTCAAACAATCATATATTGATTGTTTTGCTAGTCCAAGCAAGTATACATTGTTGACTGTGATACCTCTATCCTCTTTATGGCTAACGACCTGCTGATCCAAGGACATTGTTCCTATTTGATCTCAGTCATTAATTCTGACACCCCTACTTTTTGTAAATATCACAAAATAAACTCTTCCTGTTACTGTGTTACAAAGCAATGGGGGAGTTCATTATTTTGAAAAAGTGGTAAAATGATTATGTTTGAATTTAGAGTACAATAGAGAACTACAATATGTGTTATCTGTGGTTGTCATACACTATTATTGCACATGTACTGTTGAACACTATATATGTAGTACAGATGACCTGCATACTGTAGTACATGTATAATTGTCTGCATGTGTACTGTACTGCATGTGAGCTGTACCACATATGTACACTACTGCACATGAGCTGTACTACATGTGTACTGTATTACATGTGTACTGTACTACTTTGTACCCTAGTCCATATGTATTGTACTTGTGTGAGCTGTACTGCATTAGAGCTGTATGACGTACTGTACTACACTTTGAGCTGTACTACATATGAATTGTACTACTTTGTACCTTAGTACGTATTTTGAGCTGTACTACATGTGAACTGTAAGGTATGTGAACTATACTACACGTGAGTTGTACTACATGTGAACTCTGCTGCATTGTACCACAGTACATATGTATTGTATTACATGCGTATTGTACTACATCTGTGAATTATCACTTTTCAAGTGATTTAGTATACTATTAGATACATTAAAAAATTATATTATGAAACAATGGCTCCGATTTTGCCAAAGGATGACCTTGAACTAAAGAATGGAGGTAAAATGTCGGGGAAATGTCAAATGTAGTTGTAGGTCTTACATTTTAGATATCATAGTAGTTTTGCATTTCTTTATATTCAAATTGCAGATAAGTGAGGTACATGTATGTTAAGGGGGTCTTTAGATTTTAAGAGATTGTACACTTAATATTTTTCATTGTACTTTTGAGCTCTAACTCTCTCTTATGGTTCAGGTAAACTAAATACAAATATTTGTTACACAAAAACGTTCACCTTTGCGTAATATGTCCTATTTATAGTTCTTTGACCGGTCTGTGCTATGATGTATAGAAATGTAGGACTACTGTGATATTTAAGGGTTGAGCCAATATTTGGCTGTAACTCAGGAATTGAGTCAAACTTCACTGTAGAGGGGCTTCTCAAATGTCTGGCTAGTGATTCTTACGCATGTGTCCTGATTATGGAAAATAACCTTTTTTGTAAACTAAAGTGACATCTATATTGGAAATGACCATATTTGAAAAAAATTAATTGGAACTTCCTCTAAAGGGCTGATTTTAAATTTCTGTGTTTCATAACAGAATGGGCATCAACATCACAAAATTCCCGTGTTCTAAATGGACTTCTGTTATATACTTATACTACGTAAGTGGACTTCATGGCTAGACATTTGAGGGGTTCTCATAATATCATTTCACAATTCAAAAAATAAGGCAACGATTGTTTCGCTTTCATGGTAGTCCATATGTTATTTATTCAAAAAATATATCCAAAGTATCCAACTTTTTTTAAAGGGATTAATTACACATTGATTTCATGTGGCTAACCTTCAATTTTACTCAACAGAAACTTGTCCATCAAAGGTTTCTTTGAATTTTCAGAAATTAGAGGGGTTGCATTTTTTGTGTCACCCTGTAATTCATGGTTCTGCAATTAAAACCTGTCTTTGAAGAAAAAATGTGTAAATAAATTAATAGATTTTTATTGCTGTACAAATTAATAAATAAAACCTCTGTTTGAGTAAATAAGTTGCCATTCTCGTTCATGGGTCTATAGCTGAGACTTTGAATGAATAGAACAAGGTTTAATTATATGGACTGCCATGTTTGCTTAACATGCATGTCTGAATGTCACACGTCAATCTTCAGTGTAAATATCATTTCACCAATTCATTTGTATAAAGTCAATGTCATTATTTGATACTTGGACGATGGGCTATATTCGTAGAATGCTACGCTTGCTTGATACGCTCATTGTGATATAACTAAGGAAATTCGAAGGAATTACAAGGGGATATTCTGATAATATGGGTCTGTTTTAACTCAAAAGATGCTCTGTCAAAATATGAGTTTTTTAATTGAGTAGCGCCTTGATAACCTTAACAGAAGATCCGAAAATTTTCAAAATTTATTGAGGAAATATTTTAGTTGTAATTTCATGTGAATGGAGAACTGAAGGAAGCATTAATTTGATTCTAATTTTCGTTCTCTAAAATTCCAAGAATTTATTGTTATTTTACAATGAAGGTGTAAGTAGCGGGGCAGTCTATGTTTCTAGTTCAACGTGTATCCCAGCAAAGAAGAGGGTTCACCAATCCCAGAAACCCATGGTGTGTGTAATAGATAATTGAATCTTGGGATTGATGGCCTACTTTGATGAATTATTATTGTATTGAATGTAATGATGCCTTCTTGTAATGGAGGTAGTTTGGTCCCACAAGGCTTATCTTATAAAAAAGAATGATGGGGATTATGTGCAACAATAAATACTGTTATATTGAGTTGTATATTTCATACTATTCTTTGTATCCTTGAAATAAGCTCATAATTCCCACAATTCTTACTAAAGATTTAGTGATATTGTCAAGTCTTATTGGTTAGTCAGGTCATGTGAGCTGCACTAAGCACCTTGGGAAATACCCTCCTGTGTGTTATTTGAATCCATTTCAAACATAGATATTGAATGTAGTCTTCAGTAGTAGACATAGAACTTGTGATTTTAGAGATTTTTTTCTTAAAGACAAGGCGAATTGATCCAGTTACTGTAATATAAATGTAGATTTTGTATTTTTTAAAAATGATTTAAAAAGCTGGTTGAATATTACTTTGAAATATTTTTGTAAAATTCACTCCTGTAGTCAGGACTAATGTGATTGTTATAAAATATGAATGTCATCTGTTCGATATGACCTTATTTAGTTGTGCGTTGTTAGTTTTCGTAAACGTTGAGATAATAAACTAAGAGGCAGTCTTTAAAATCACAAGTCATTTTCCTTAGAATAATAGGACACATAATCTGATAAATTGAAACATTTAATGCTGTAAGTTTTTTTTGATTTGATCTTTTTTTGGATGGATCTTCCGCATGCTTTGAGATAAATTCTTATAGAATAGTGAACTTTTAAAGTTTTAAAATGGACTTTGCCATTGAGCACTTTAAAAGCATTCAAAATACCTATCATTTTGTCAGATTTTGTGTTCTATTATTCTGTTGTAGGGTCTTGTAGGGCCAAAGATTCATCCTATCACCCTTCTTAATACTCAAATGGACTCATCCAACATTATACGGGGTGTTCTATGATGTCAGAAAGGGGGTGATAGGGTATGTGTTGACTGTATGAAGTGATGTACAGTCTATTTGGAGTACTGAATAAATTGCTATATTTTGATATGATAAATTATTATTCTGTTTTTGTTGTTGTAAATGCTCTTGAAATGAGCTCAACAGGAATTTGCAGATAATGTGCTTACAATGTGCAATCACCACAGACACAGGAACAAGAGTTCATCCCCCCAGTTACTGTATAATGTCTTCTATCTAATACATAGTGAGTGGGAGGGGGATGAACTCTTGTTCCCGTGTCTGTGGTGATCACACTGGTCAGCTGTGTTACATTCAATACCGATTTCAAAAGTCACAACTTCTTAATTAAACCAAGGGGGATTGAATTGTGTTTATAATCAGTTATAATATCGGACAATGTTTTCAACATTTCCGTTGCTTTGAACACATGCACACATCGCTAGAAGATCGGCCATTCGTGCATTCCTCGCCATAGAAATATTCAGGCAGCCAATCCTGCTTTATTTACTTCAATAGGTTGCACTCATTCTGGTGAGAAGGGTCAAAGTCAACTCAAACTAAGTCATCTGCAACCAAAGTCATCACCAGTTGAGTCAATTTAACCCAAGTCAACTCAAGTAATGTGCGACCCTAGTCAACTACAACTCGACCCAAGTCATCATCAACCATCGGAATGGCTAAATTGGTAGACAGCGACACTTGGGTTATGTTACTACACAACAGAACTAACAGAACAGAATATTTTGTTTACATACAATATACAAAAATATCATGGCTTTATTGTACTCCTACCTTTGTTAAGGTATCAATAGCCATTAGCCATTAAAATAAAATATTCAATGAACACCAGTAATCTTCAGTACTTTAAACAAACTGCCACATTTTACGCTATTTTCATTTATTTTCACAATTTCGATCTTGATTCTAAACTTGCCGAAAAATCCATCTATACTTAAAACTTGGTTCTATTTTGCAATAAAAGGTGGCAGTATGTTCAAAACTCTTGCTTATGTTTGATTGGTCAGTTCAGTGTTCACTAAATGCGAAACTCCACCGTTTCTTCCGTCAGCCTGGGAACTGAACACACTTGAGAATGGGGTGAGGTTGATACAGCATCGAAAAAAAACGGGTAACCAAAAATCTGACTAATCCCAAAAAGAATTATCAGTATATTGTGGCTCCGTGTAATTCAGACGATGGACTCCTCCCATTCCTCGTCGACTCCTTTGAGTGACAGTTTACAATTGGATCTATGTACAAACCTAATTACACACTTCTCAACGCATTAAAATGTACAAAAATATATCACCTCTCGGTCAAGATGACCTACTTATTTGCGACTGAAATCTCTCCCAATAGAGGAGAGATCTAATTGAAAATTCTCGTAAAAATTGAGAATTTTTGCAAATCTAGTACATCACCTGAAATATAGGTGTCACTGTAGTGCTCCACATGCTGATGTTGCCGCCATTTTGAAATAGTTTCATTTCATTCTTCATTGAATATCTTCCATTTCTAATTGAATCGTACTCTTAATGTCCAAAAATAGTCATTCCACGAATTTTATATTGCATATTACTAACGTCACACAAAATAGAAGTTATTCAATTTACATTTCGAGAGTACTTTACAGTTCATAGTTCTTATTTAATATTTTTAATAGTACATACTGAAATTCTTCTCAACTTAAACATGATCCAATACTTGATGTTACTATAGCAATAAAAATGTGAGTATTTAACCTTTAACCTTCAACAGGGGCCCTGATTTGTGAATTTTAACATTACTGACCCTGAGTGAAGGTCTTATTCTAAATGGATGGTGATCAGGCGACCCCGAGATATTCTAATATGCTGACGTTAGTTAAAACTCTAACATTTATATATTCAATATTCCAGACACACTCGACTTGATTTTTCTTCGACAAAACTGACGTGGAATTTTCAGCTCAAAACAAACAAATGTTAATTATAATATAAGGCGTAGCAAATCGTTGTCTTGGTAACCTATTTTCGGAAGTGGATCTCTTTTCGTCGATATATCAATAGTTGGACATTAAAATAAGTTAGAACAGTATAAAAGGACTTTAAAAAGTCAGTAAACTCAAAGTTTTGAGTGTCAAAGAACTGTCTTTTACAATTTTAAAGAAAACCAACACATGTTTTGGGGAGCAAAAATTGTACATATAGGAACACAAATTGTAATGTGTGGCAAAACAGATCACCATGACAACGCTTGCTACACCCGACAACAGGGTAATAATAATATATGACAAAGCAATTATAGCGCACTACACTCTATTCTTGGAGTTTCCAACTAAGATAAGACTAGCACGTTTTGTAAATACTTAGACGTTGTCCCAGATTTTCCGCTCTAAATTCTACAAATAATAGACCAATTTCTACAAATAACAGCCCAAATTCTTCAAAAATGAGTCTGGATTTATTGGAAAGGTCTATCACTTTCATTTAATAGGTGGGTTTCTTAAAGTTGCTAAAATTAGTCACTTCAGCTATCATTTCTTTTCAAGAAATGTCCCCTTCAAAGGTGGATGAATGGTCCAGCAGTGCAAAATTTTTGGGACAACCTCTTACATGATTTTCTTGATTTTTCTTCGTGCAAAATTCACTTCAGACACCAGCTTATTTGAATGAAAATCACATAACTTTCTAAAACGGCATGTTCATATTTTTAAGGCCAATGAAATTAATTCACTCGGTTCTTCACCACTGACAAGTGAATTCATTTATTGCAAAGCGAACAAGCAGATGAATTATTTCCTCGGCCTCATAACACAGGATGTATTTTAAACAGATTTTTGGTGTGTCATGGAGATAAAACATGCTCCCTAGACGTATCCAAATTTTCACAAACGGCATCCCAGTAAAAGAGAGCCGAAGACTCTATAGAAAATGCACCCTGTGTTGTCAAAAGTTCAATTTTTGATGATTTTCATTTTGGACATAAGTTACGATTTTAATAACACTACCACAAACAATTTATTTCGACGACTGTTTAATATCACAAAATAACAACAATCGAGATTTCAACACAACTAATCTCACGATTTTGATCGTAACTAACGAAAACAAATGTCCAAACTGAAAATTACCAAAATTACCGAACCTAGACACTATTTACACTCTATTTACAAATCTAGTCAATATTTCACAGACATTCTAGCGAAAAAAATTGAGAATTCGGTGCTATGCTAAGTCATAAAGTTTTCAAGATTTCAGTTCTTTTATACAAGAAAAAAAACTTACAAAAACCCTTAAATATCTTGATGTTACTCCCATAGAACTAGGGCTCTATATGTCTTGTTTGTAATCACTGTACATGGATACAGAAAATACAATATAACTGTTATAGCTTGTATAATAATCTCATACACTAAATTTATATGTACCTAGGAGTCCAACATTTCTGTTAAGATGTCACTGAAACAATTGACTAAATCACCCTGACAACATTGGTTGCCATGACAACACTGGCACCCTAGCTGTAGTTGCTGTAGTTACCATTGTAACTACTGTTACGGCCGCCACCACCTCCACTGTAGTTGTTTTGGTCCCAGTTGTTGCCACCCCATCCACTTCCCTGACCATAGGAGTCACTGGAGTAGTCCTGACCACCACTACCACCTGCAATGTAAGATAATATCACCTGCAATGTAAGATAATATCACCTGCAATGTATGTCACCTAAATTGTACGCAACCTGCAATGTTAGACACATGCAATGTATAACAACTGCAGTGTATGTAACCTGCATTGTATGGCATCTGCAGTGTATATAGTCTGCATTGTATGGAACCTGCAATGTATGTCACTTACATTGTATGCAACATACAATGTATGACACCTGCAGTCACTCCCCCCAGTTTTCTGCAAGTTAAAATGCTAAATTCTGCAAGTGAAATTAGTGAATTCTGCAAGGGGAAAAGGCTAATTCTGCAGAAATTCCGCGGAAAATATCGTGATAGATATAATTAAAACGGGAAAATTTCATGATAGTTACATAGGCAGTCACTACGTCACTACTCAATACATGCTGCCATCTAGCGACAGAAATCAAATGACGAAGTTTAAAACTTTCACTTCGCATAATTTGGTAATTTTTGGGTTATTTCTACAAGGGATTTGACTGAAAACGTGTGAAATTGTTGGGGAAATTGTTACAGGTAAGACTGACTATTCAAACTTTTGGAAAATATATCGATTCCGCGGAAAATTCCGCGGAGATTGACCAAAATAGTTGATTCTGCAATTCCGCGGGCAAAGGCAAATTCCGTCCGCGCTCTGCAAACACGGAATCCTGGGGGCAGTGTGCAGTGTACACAACCTGCAATGTATGACACCTGCAGTGTATACAACCTGCAACATATGACATCTGCAGTGAATGCAACCTGCTGTGTTTGATACCTGCAGTATATACAACCTGCAATGTATGACATCTGCAGTGTATGCAACCTACAATGTATGACACCTGCAGTGTATGCATCCTGCAATGTTTGACACCTGCAGTATATACAACCTACAATGTATGACATCTGCAGTGTAAGCAAACTACAATGTATGACACCTGCAGTGTATGCAACCTGCTATGTTTGACACCTGCATGGTAAACAACCTGCAATGTATGACACCTGCAGTGTATGCAACCTGCTATGTTTGTCACCTGCATTGTATGCAACCTGCAGAGATAAAAACATGTAACTTAATCTCCCTAATTATGTTCAAACTATACCTCCATTGCTGCGGCCACCACCTCTTCCTCGTCCACCACGTCCCCTTTGGCCTCCTCCTCGAGACCTTGCTCCATAACCTGCCTCGTATCCACCGTATCCTCCCCCTCCATATCCACCTGGGCTACCATATCCACCTCCATTGTGCATGTTGCCATGGTAGCCACCACCGTATCCACCTCCGTAGCCACCTAAATAACACAAAGAATAAATAAACATAAACAACAAATCACTTGGATAAAAGCTAAGATTCAACATAAAAAAAAATCAATTTTAGATAAATAGAGGATATCCTAAGATTTTTGATGGATATCATTTTACACATGAGTGGATATCGCCCATCTCCACGAGTCAGCGCAGTGAATGAGTTGAGATGAGTGATATCCATGTGTGAATAAAAATGATAGCCCAAGAAAATAATAGGATATCCTATTTATCCTATGGTTGCTGTTTTTGTATTGAATTTAAATAATATGACCTAAAAATTGAGTAAGGCCATAAGAAGTAGATTCTTTGTTCTGCATCCTGGCAAAATCCAAATCATGCAAGGGAACAAGGAAAACAAACACAAACTCAAAAGAAAAAACACAAACTTGTTTGCTGAGAAATGAATACATTTCAAGGGCATAAAAAGGGATGACATACCATTTGTAGTGGTTAAAAACACATATCTATACATTTTATATAATATATTTAAACATATAGCTATTATTCAAGGGTAAAAAATAAGAAAATAAACAATGTATGCCAAAGTAATCAATTTTTGACGCACATCAAATTATCCGCCATTTCGTCTGATTCTGATTGAACGAAAGCGATGGTACTTTCAGACCCTTGTGATTGCTATTTGGATGGGTTTGTTTATCTGATTTACTCAAAATCCTGCAAGCAAGGGGATGCAAAATGAAGACTTTCCTTCTAATGGCCTAACCATGTTCAAAGAAAATCAAACGTATAGATTCACAATAAAAATCAATAAAAAACACATGTAATTCGAAATATCAAGTATTTATTCACACGAAAGATCTCAAAAATCCTAAAATCTGGTCTCTCTTACATCACAAAATCTAACCCATTATATCATGGCATCTCAAGGCTGAGAAGAAATGAGATGTCATGGTTTATCACGATGCAGATCTTAGATATCTAGTCACATGGAAAAGTGCATATCAATCATTCTTTAGTAGAAATATATAAGCTCACCTCCGTAGCCGCCACCACCACCATATCCTGGCCCGACACCATATCCCATACCATATCCACCCCCAAATCTTTCCTGCTGCATGGGCTCTCTCTTCTGCGTCACTTTTTTACACTCAACCTAGAAAAGGAGAACTACTGTCAAGTAAAAGGATTCATCTATGAATTGTGCACAGATTCCATAAAACTTTGCAGCCGTTACTTAAAAAATTTACAAACTGTGCAATCGACTAATTTTAGTATTTTTTGATACTCATGTTGAACATAATTTGCAATATGGATCTAACAACATAGTAATTACCCATTTGAAAAAAATAATTCAAAATGGAATTTTGCAGTCAGTGTTGAAATATTCTACATTGTGCAGATTGTACACTGTATTATTCCAAATCCAAGCGTTCACAATGAAAAGCAGTGATCTCCACAGCACTTTTTCTCAAGTAGGTGCAAAATTCTCATTTTCACAATTCAGACCAAAATTGGTCAAAATATGCCCATTTCTCACGATCTTTTTTAATTTTCAAGTGGGTGCAAATGGATTTTCAAGTAGGTGCAAGCCTATTATCAATATCTCAGGTGGGTGCTGTGCCCACTTGCTTTAAAGCTGGGGAGATCACTGAAACCAGTTAAATGGAATTAGCCTTGCAAGTAAAAAATTTAAATTTATGATAATAAATGCTCAGTATTTACTTTTTCCTCTAATCAGAAGGCTTCAAATTTGAAATAATTTCACGGGTGTAATCAAAATGGACTTACATCTCGGTCTCCTCCCATCTTATGGTGGCCTTCTTCCAACATCTTCTGAGCTGCAGTCTCAGATGTAAAGGTACAAAAGCCAAATGCTTTCCTCTTTGCAACTGATCTATCAGCTGATCTCTCCGTGGGTAGAATGAGGTCTTCTATCTACAATATACACAGTTATAATATAAAAGATATAAGGGGGGGGGGGCTGTTAGCAGATGTAAAAGCCAAATGCTTTCCTCTTTGCTACTGATCTATCAGCTGATCTCTCTGTGGGTAGGATGAGGTCTTCTATCTACAATATACACAGTGAGCATATAAAAGATATAAGGGGGGGGGGGCTGTTAGCAGATGTAAAAGCCAAATGCTTTCCTCTTTGCAACTGACCTATCAGCTGATCTCTCTGTGGGTAGGATGAGGTCTTCTATCTACAATATACACAGTTATCATATAAAAGATATAAGTGGGGGGGGGGCTGTTAGCAGATGTAAAGTTAAAAAAGCCAAATGCATTTGTTACAGACGCCAACCACCTATCGCCAACTGCTGTCACAAAAAAATGGAGACCATAACAATATGTCACCACTTTTCGGTAGTGACATAAAAAGCAGCTAATATTTATTTCACATTCACAATCTTATAAATTCCATTGATGCTACTGTTAGATATATAGGATTGATCAGTGTTTAAACTTGAAAATCATGTGTTAAAAGTCAGAGGGAGATATAGCGAGCATTTAAGGATTCAGGGTACCTAATAAAGAAAAATACCTGTCCATAGTTCTCCAGATAGGCTCTAACATCTGCTTCAGGTATATCGGGGCTTAGACCTCCCAGGAAAACTTTACGCATGGACTCTGGGGCCTTTGCAACATCACAGTTCATTGTTCTGTTATGAAGGACATGGTTCTTCTCCGCAAGAGCCTTAATAAAGATAAAATGGTGACTCTAAGTTAATATATTTCATGAGATAATAAAGTAGTTTTCAACAGATAAGTATGAAGAATTTTGAATAAAGTTGAAAATCCATATAACTGTTTTATACAAATAATTTCCATGATTTCAAGTCTCAGTGTATGATTACTCAGACATCAAAAACAGGTGCTGCCCTCTTTTCTCAAAATTAAGTTGTGTCTTCGGAGGAGAAAATGAGCTCAAAGGAAGAGCTTGGGGAAAGAAGAGTGAAACAACTTGGGAGATACTTGATCCCATGCAATTGGAGGATGCATTATATCACTTACCGCCTTACAAGCCTCAGGATCTTCAAAAGTCACAAATCCAAATCCTCGCGACTTCTTGGATTCATAGTCGTACTTTAAGCGCACCTCAGTGACAGTCCCAAATTTGGAGAAATACTGTTTTACATCATCTTGGTCAGCTTCCCAGGCTAACCCACCCACAAATATTTTACTGAAAAAATGTGAAAATAAGTAATGAAGTAATTTGAAATCTTTATGGAACAAAGAACACATACTAGTAACTTCTACTTTAGGAACACAGAAACCGCTGTTTTCTGCAGTAATTTCAATTATGGGGTGGTAATATTAACAGTGAGATGGCAATATTAACAGTGAGATGGCAATATTAACAGTGAAATGGCAATATTTACAAAGAGATGGCAATATTAACAGTGAGATGGCAATATTAACAAGGAGATGGCAATATTAACAGTGAGATGGCAATATTTACAAAGAGATGGCAATATTAACAGTGAGATGGCAATATTAACAGTGAGATGGCAATATTAACAGTGAGATGGCAATATTAACAGTGAGATGGCAATATTAACAGTGAGATGGCAATATTTACAAAGAGATGGCAATATTAACAGTGAGATGGCAATATTAACAAGGAGACTGTATCCTAAGATGAAAAATTTACCATTTTATACTCTTGAAGGGAGCTTCAATATCTGAGAACAAAAAATATAATAAATGGTATGGCAATGGACACATATTTTAGGATCTGGTATGAGAATGCCCCCCAAAATTATTGCTTTTGAGGTATGGGATATTTGATTTTCCACTTTCTGGTATGAGATTGGTCATGTAAAAACATGTAACCTCACACTTGTGGTGTGGCATTGGTCTTATAGCTACACATATTCTTAATTTGGGGTTGTTTTGTATTGTAATCGTCAAAGATTTGCCTCCTTTTCGGGGCCTCCAGTTTGAATATTAGTTTTTTCTTGTGTGGTATGGCATTGGTCCTATATTTGGACATTTGATATGGCATTGGTATTATATTTTGGGACATTTGGTATGGCTTTTGATCGTTATTTTGGTTGATATGGGAACCCATTAAAATTTGACAGATTGGTATGGGAATATATTGTTATCTGAGGGCTCAGCCTAGGACCCCCGCTGAATTTTGTAAACAGTGTGAACCCCAGGAAGCTGAATTGTACATTTTAGGATGTAAATTGTGCCAGGGGAAATGTGTATATTTTTGAGCTCTGCCCTGCTCCATTTTTAATATTATCTACTATCTTCCAAAAATCTTTTGAAATACAGTGAAGTCGCGCCAATTGAGGGGAAGCAATCAGGGATAGGAATACTTTACATTCTTCTAAGGCCACTGAATTGGCTAGAGACTCGAGTAAGGAGTACTAATTTAGTTTTAGATCTTGCATAATATTAGGATACAACACAGATTTCTCATAGTTCAACCGAAATTAGAATCGTAATACCCATGTCTGCAACAACCCAAAAAATAACTACCTAAAATCTGAAAACAACAAAGCACACTCTCTTTGTCATATAAATTGTCAGGAAGTAAAAAAAAAATATTGCATCAATCATTGCAATATCTTGACGGACTCATCCATCAATGACAACTGTGTATAAAGACTGTTTATAATAACATACACTGTAAAACATACAAATATTAACCTAATGTGGAAATTTGGTCGAATAAACGGCATAAAACGAAACAATAATGTCATGACCCATTTTTGTTCCAAATCATAACAACACGTGTGAACCACATGAAATTCAACTGCCTAATTCTGCAACATTTAAATCTTGTCAGCAAAGAGCATAACAACCTTGGATCGTTTAAGCCTTGATCTTTAAAGAAATTATGTATATCTAATTAATGCTTAAGTATTTGAGGGTTAAAAATGGACATAAATACAGCACTTACCATCCCTCCATTCTGACGCTTCTCAATCCAATTAGCAAGAGAACATGTGCTGACACCTATTTTGTTGCGGATGGAGGAATCGCGTGAAACGAAAACACAATGGTGTTAAAAGTTACAGATTGTGAATGTGATACTGTACAGCTGACATATATGTGCACGCTCATAACAAATTAGTTTTTGGCCTAATTAAAATTTATTTCTACTGTACTAAATTAGCACAAATATCTTATCTGTTGGCAGTCCACACTTCAGGGCCTTCAGGGTGGGCGTGGCACATAGCTTGTTTTTGTCGATTCTGGACTCTGGAATTTTTTTCATGTAATCGCCAATTTACAAAGGCAGTACAGTATACATCTACATCAGGGCATGTATGGAGGGGGGGGGGGTATCCAGTGTCAGAAATTCTTATCAGTAAATAGAGTATCAAGAATCAAGATTCAAAATGTACAAGGACCCTCTAAAGCATGAGGGAAAGGTATAATTGAGTATGCTTGACATTATCAAGTCACAAATTGTGTAAATTGATTTAATTTGGGAAATATTATTACCTAAAATAATACACAGTTTTTCAATGCTAACAATTTATTTTTATTAATAGCTTCATGGTTTCAATTAAATATCCAGCTATGTGCTGTACCAACATTTTGTAGATCCGAAATAAAATAGTTCACAATATTATTACGAGATATTATGAAGGCATAACAATTTCAAAAATGCATGTACTGTGATCAAATCTAAAATGGTGATCATGACAAAATGTTTTGAATGTAAATGACTGAATGATTATATTTTCATATAATTTATTGGATTATAATTATCAGAAAATTGTGGGAAAAATCTCCAATAATCAGATCATAGAACCCCAATAATCAGATTTTAGCACCACAATAATGATATAATAGCACTACAGTAATCAGACTATAGCATCACAATAATAATTTAATAGCACCACCTTAATCAGACTATAGCACCACAGTAATCATACTATATATAGCACCACAATACTAATTTAACAGCACCACAGTAATGAGACTATAGTACCACAATAATAATTTAATAGCACCACAGTAATCAGACTATAGCACCACAAATTTAATAGCACCACCTTAATCAGACTATAGCACCACAGTAATCAGACTATAGCACCACAATAATAATTTAATAGCACCACATTAATGAGACTATAGTACCACAATAATAATTTAATAGCACCACAGTAATCAGACTATAGCACCACAAATATAATTTAATAGCACCACAGTAATTAGACTATAGCACCACAATAATAATTTAATAGCACCATGGTAATCACACTATAGCACCACCATAATAATTAAAAATATCACCGCAATAATCAGCTTATAGTACCACAATAATTCGTAATTCAATAATCAGTTACAATATTTAGATTGTAGCACAACAATAATAATCTAATAGCACCACAATAATCGATTAATAGGGCTACAATATTTAGATTGTAGCACAACAATAATCATTTAATACAATTATATAAGAGCTACAGTTAGATAATCTGGTGACAGGGGTGTAGCCAGCAATTGTCAAGGGGGGTTTGATATTTCGGGTTTGCATCAATGCTAGCATAGTGAGCCCTAAAGGAGCACTGAGGTTCACCCCTGGAATTTAAAAAAAATTACATGTTATATTGTACGTTCTTAGCAATTTTAAACTGGGGGGTGCGATGCGACATCCATTGCCCTCTGTTGCCTTTCCCCATTTTTTCATAAAAAGGTTTGGTAGAAGAAGGGGGAGGGGGTAAGTAGGATTGCACCCATTGCACCCCCCCCTAGCTACACCCATGTGTGATGTTAATAATAAATCTGTCATGCTCTGATATACTAGTATAAGTTGGTAATTCTGTCATTTTGTAGATACATAAGTTAAAAACCACCAAAAATCACAAGTTTTTTGTTAATAGATAAAATAAAAGCACCATAATGAATGAAATCATGAATTCTTCTTTGTGAAATAATTCATATGGTTTGACTCTCTTTCTTCGTGCTATGTCCCTTATTGCATATATCGGAATCAAAATATGAAAAATATCAGGAAATATTAGTCCTATATTTCGTACATTTTGCCACATACGACCAGTCCCTGATAAAAGTTGGCTAAAAAATTGGTCAACACCTCCCGTGATGAGATGAGCTGTGTTTATATTTATAATGAGCAATAGTTTCCATGGTAACATGGGATTGTCTTCATTGCAAAGGTTGAGTACCAATGCCGTAGAGATTATCTCTGTGATTGTAAATATTGTTTGATGGTACCACTGATAGTAGAAGTCCTCGTTGTAATAGCCAAAATAGCTCCACCATGAATAATAATGTGCATATGTTGTCATGGCAACCAGGTAAAACATCTTCCTCCTCAATAACTGTTGTTGCCATAGTTTCAATAAATATTTTAAAGTCTCATAAATGATGATGATGAAAATCACCGTCACAATCCATATTTTCAGGGAATTTATAGTTGCGTTGAAATAAACGTGCTTGTATCCACTTGGTGGGTGCTCGTAAGGCCCTGGAAATATACCAATTTCAAAATGCTATTTATACTCTACTATACATAACACCTAGAAATGCATAAGATACTCTGTTTGTCTAATTGTATTATTTAGTATATTTTTGAAAGTGCCTTAGTAACATCTAACATTCAACCGATAAACCATTAATAAGGAACAGACAAATAAAAACAAATACAAATTCATGAGTAATAAGCCAAATGGGTTGCTCATGAACACAAAATGCAAGGTATAGTAGAGTGATTTACTAAATGGTAGAATCATTGTCCTTTCTTAAATTAAATAATTTAAGTCTGAAATACATATTTTCACAGAATTACAGGAAGTAGCCCACTCAGATTCATCTAATTGTTTTTATAAGAGGGGACTTTTTTGATAATGACGAATGGGATGGAAAAAAGTGACTAAAAGTGACACCTACAGGTATCATTTTAAAGTGATGGTTATGTGTCCTACCCACCAGTCTGAAGATAGTATTGAAGAGATCACAGGTATTGTTCATTTATTCTCTCTCTAGAAGGCCATATTGGTCTATGATTTCTTCCTCGTTCTCTCCCAGATAGGTTTGGGAATTGGTACTGGGAGGGAATGGGGGGGGGGGGTAGTGGGAGAGCATCATTGACTCACTTCTAAAGATAGTATCAAAGCAATCGCAGGTATTACTAATTTATTCTCCTTCGACAGAGCCCTATTTTACCTTCTCCATTCTCTAACAAAAAAGTTTGGGGGTTGGTAGTGAAAAGAGGGGGGGGGCAAGAAGTGGGAGACTTTTGACTAACCTCTGAAGACAGTATCAAAGCAATCACAACTGCAAGTTGTTCTGTTCACCTTTCCTTTCGCTCCGTGCAGCACCTTATAAAACACACCTGAAATATAAACATAAATTCACTACATAACTTTTTGTAGGGGAAAGATGTCAATTTTAAACAAGGCATTAAGATGCAAAAAGTCATATATTAACATGCAATTATTTACCTTCATTTACATTTCTAGTTATGAATACTGGAGCGAGCTCCCCCCCCAAAAAAGGGGAGGGGGTTCCAAAGCTAGGATCCTGATAATGTACGCATTCTAAAATTTGAACAACTCAACAAACAAAAGTGTCTCACCTATGTGCAAGTATGGTAGAATTGACACAAACACAACACCAGCTAGAAAATACAGGAGATTGTTGCGGACTCCTTGATTGGCTCCTACATCATGGACATTCAGCAGGCCCCTCTCAACGTAGCCCTGCACCATTTTTATGACATGGGTCTGAGGAGACCTAGCAGAGTTCTCTCTTTGTCTAGTCAAAGTCAATATGGTTCCCCAATTTACCCTGTAGTAGTGGCATGACTCAGGGACCAGGCTGGCTTGCCTACCAATGAATAGCCCATGGCACACAGTGAATGGCCCAGGGCTGAGTGTAGTATACACCTGTTTATAAGGATCTGTCCCGGCCGCTTCAGATCGGCCAGCCTATATTCATATGTTTCACGTGCTGTGCTAGTTAGATGTAGAATACAGGCAGCTGCATTTGAACAAAACTGTCAACAACACAAAATCCAACCTGAAAGTGCAGTGAAAATATTTGTTTTAGTTGTTAGGCCTAGACTGGTCTAACTAACTCAGTTTAACATCGTTAAAGGAGTTAATTGATTAATATTATCATAATGACGGGTAAAAACTCAATTTCAATTGCCATAAACATTATTTATTGCTAATAATTGGCCAAAATATAACTTTTTTACCTTTTAAAATTTTCCTACCTTTGCCCGAAATGAAGTAGTTTGAGGCTCGTTAGGAATATCACTTCCTTGTTCCAACATCCGGATGAAAAGTCAGGTAGACTCTTCTTCTATTTTAAACAATTAATCATTAACTTATCCTATCATAGAAGTGTTAATGTGTTATAAAACATAAGATTATTCAAGTACTATGTTGATTATATTCGGATTATTGATTGACAGATTGAATTCACAAAAAGTAAAGCGAATTTTGTCTACTCAGGTCTTGGTGAAGGTCACCCCCATGACAATAGCTGCATCATGCAGTGTGCAATATGTACATCTTGATCATTATAAAAAAAATTGTTGGCCCATTTTCACATCAACTTCCATGCTTTAAGACACTGAACTGATCGAGTGACACAGATTACGGGAGGGTGCAGGCCTCGATGGGTTCGAGCGAACCCCCCTCCCTCCCCCTGGCTAAAAAATCTTTCAAAGTCATGCAGTTTTTCACCATTCTGAGCACTTTTTAAATGATTTTGGACATATTTGGACCAAAATTGCCACAAGTGAACCCCCCTGGAATTTTTCAAAAAGTGAACCCCCTTGGCAAATCCTGGCTACTACGGGCCTGGGATGGCTGAAATTTTCAGCTACCACACATTGATTGATTTTGACATTGTAAACAATTTTTTTATTTCCAGATTGACAAGTTATATAAGTGTCAATGGTACACACAGATTGCAAGTCAAATCACCTGTAAGAATTGTCATGCGGCTCTAGAAATTGAAGAAAAATGGTACAGAACTATATTGCGAAAGGCTTGTTGGGTTTTCGTGAAGATGAAGGGAGAGAGAATGTACGCGACAACCTCTTATATTTCCTCGCTGGTGTTGTGTTTGTGTCAATTCTTCCGTACTTGCACATAGGTGAGACCGTTTTCTTTTTTAAACAATTGTTTGTTTTTCAATTCATTCAAAGTTTTTTTTCACAATTTACAATTTTTTGTTTATGTTTAATTGTGTATTCTATATTATTCTGAATTACTTGATGTGTCCCTGTTTATGTGTTTAAATTTCCAACTATATTGTCTTTATATTTCTAAATGTGGTAAAATAAGACAATGTGTTCATATTTTACATTGTGTTCATATTTCACAATATTACATTGTGTTCATATTTGACACTGTGTTCATATTTGACACTGTGTTCATATTTGACAATGTGTTCATATTTCACAATATTACATTGTGTTCATATTTCACACTGTTCATATTTGACAATGTATTCAGATTTCACAATGTGTTCATATTTCACAGCACTGTGTTCATATTTCACACTGTGTTCATATTTCACAATGTGCTCATATTTCACACTGTGTTCATATTTCACACTGTGTTCATATTTCACAACCTGTTCATATTTAAACTGGGTTCATATTTCACAAGGTGTTCATATTTCACACTGTGTTCATATTTCATAATGTGCTCATATTTCACACTGTGTTCATATTTCACAACCTGTTCATATTTAAACTGTGTTCATATTTCACAAGGTGTCCATATTTCACACGGTGTGTTCATATTTCACAATGTGTTCATATTTAACACTGTGTTAATATTTCACACTGTATTAATATTTCACACTGTGTTCATATTTCACAATGTGCTCATATTTCACACTGTGTTCATATTTCACAATGTGTTCATATTTCACACTGTGTTCATATTTCACACTGTGTTCATATTTCACAATGTGCTCATATTTCACAATGTGTTCATATTTCACACTGCATTTATATTTCACACTGTGTTAATATTTCACACTGTGTTCATATTTCACACTGTTTTCATATTTCACACTGTGTTCATATTTCACACTGTGTTTATATTTCACAATGTGCTCATATTTCACACTGTTTATATTTCACAATGTGTTCATATTTCACACTGCATTCATATTTCACACTGAATTCATATTTCACACTGTATTAATATTTCACACTGTGTTCATATTTCACAATGTGTTCATATTTCACAATGTGCTCATATTGCACAGTGTTCATATTTCACAATGTGTTCATATTTCACACTGCATTCATATTTCACACTGCATTCATATTTCACACTGTGTGAAATATTTCACACTGTGTTCATATTTCACAATGTGCTCATATTTCACACTGTGTTCATATTTCACACTGTGTTTATATTTCACAATGTGCTCATATTTCACACTGTTCATATTTCACAATGTGTTCATATTTCACACTGCATTCATATTTCACACTGAATTCATATTTCACACTGTATTAATATTTCACACTGTGTTCATATTTCACAATGTGTTCATATTTCACAATGTGCTCATATTTCACAGTGTTCATATTTCACAATGTGTTCATATTTCACACTGCATTCATATTTCACACTGCATTCATATTTCACACTGTGTGAAATATTTCACACTGTGTTCATATTTCACAATGTGCTCATATTTCACACTGTGTTCATATTTCACAGTGTTCATATTTCACAATGTGTTCATATTTCACACTGCATTCATATTTCACACTGCATTCATATTTCACACTGCGTTCATATTTCACACTGCGTTCATATTTCACACTGTGTTCATATTTCACACTGTGTTCATATGTCACACTGTGTTCATATTTCAAATGTGTTCATATTTCACAGTGTGTTCATATTTCATACAGTGAATTGAGTGAGTGTATGTCAATTTCCCCGTATTGCAAATTTTATCCGTCTTTAATTGCAGGTGTGTTTGACAAGCTGGTATATGCTGCTAAGCCAAAAGTGAACAGATCAACCTGTACCTGCAATTGCTTTGATACCGTATTCAGAGGTAAGTCAACAGTCTCTGATGCCCCCACCCCACTACCCCCCCCCCCCCTCCTCCCACTACCAATTCCCAAATCTTTCTAGGAGAGAATGGGGAAGGAAACATAGGCCCATGTGACCTTGTAGAGGGAGAATAAATTAGCAATACCTGCAATTGCTTTGATACTATATTCAGAGGTGAGTTAACAGTCTCTGATGCTCCCTACCCCACTACCCCCCCCCCCTCCCACTACCAATTCCCAAATCTTTCTGGGAGAGAATGGGAAAGGAAACATAGGCCCATTTGACCTTGTAGAATTAACAGTCTCTGATGCTCCCTACCCCACTACCCCCCCCCCCCTCCCACTACCAATTCCCAAATCTTTCTGGGAGAGAATGGGAAAGGAAACATAGGCCCATTTGACCTTGTAGAGGGAGAATAAATCAGCAATACCTGCAATTGCTTTGATACTATATTCAAAGGTGAGCCAACAGACGAGTCTCTGATGCCCCCACTACCTATCCCCTTCTCCCTTCCACTTAAAACACCCAAATCCTTTTTAGGGACGGGAAAGGCAACAAGGGGGCCTTGTAGAGGGTGTAATGTCACAGGTTTAGGAATCAGGAAACATTTGAACATTCAGGCCCGTGGCCAGAATTTTCCAAGGAGGGTTCACTTTTCCAATAAATTCTAGGGGGTTCACTTTGGCAAAGGCCAAAAATCACTCAAAAAAGTCAGAATGGTGAAAAACTGCATGATTTTGAAAGAAATTTTGGCCAGGGGGGGGGGGGTTCACCCAAACCCTGCGAACCCCCCTGGCTATGGGCCTGACATTTATCACACTACATGTGTATAAATATGTACAGTTTAGTGTTTTAAATCTGCATTTGTTTAAATTATTCAGTAGTTAATTTATATTTGATTTAAATTAAGAGATATTTAATTTATTTGATTTGATTAAAGTTGTGTAGTACTGCATATAATTTATACTTGATTAGAAATGTAGTAGAGAACCTTTAAGGCTTTTTTATTTATTTATTTGATTTTTTCAGGACCATATGAATACCCCCCAAGTGGATACAAGCACCTATACTTCAATGCAACTTTAAATTCAATGAAAATATGGATCACCACTGTGATTTTTATCCTCGCATTGAATGAAACGCTGAAATATTTATTGAAACTATGGAGACACCAGAAGTTAAGAAAGAAGATGTTTTGCTTGGTTGCCATGACAACGTATCCACATTATTATGCATGGTGGGTTTACTTGACGTATTATAATGAGGAATTTTACCTACAATGGTCGCATCAGACTGTTTTTACCATCACAGAGATTATCTCGACACTCTTAGTGCTAAACCTATGTAATACAGAAAACCCCATGTCGCTATGGAAACTCCTGTTTATCATCAATATAAACACGGCTCATTTAATCACGGGAGGGTTTGATCAGTTTTACAGGCAGCTTGTATCAACGGGTTATATTTGGCAGAATTCAAGAAATATTGGATTGATGGTTCCCGATATTTTTCACATTTTGATCTGTTTATTTGAAATCCGGAGACTTGCTAAGGAAAAGAAGGTGTGGTCCTATGAATTGTTTTATAAGGAGGAATACATGCTTTCATTCAGTTTGATTCTGGTGTTTTATGTTTTGACATCTATTTTGTAATATTACTTTTATAGATAGATTAAACACGCCTTACCATCGCGTAAGCAGGCGTCACCGTACAGGGTCAAAAAATACAGTAGTACAGTTTTCTGTACGGTGACGAAAATTAACAGAGTTGAAGCAAAAACTATACTGAGGGTTTTAAAAAAATTAATTAGATGAAAATAAATACGATTTCCGGTGTAATAAAAACAGCATTCTCTTAGGAATGGTTTTAACTTTCTAATATGATAAAAGTTTTCGAGCCCTGCTTGGATTTTTCCTGACTTGATCGGCCCACATAATCGACTCCAGAGAAAAATGTTGTTTTTTTCACTTTTCGTTTGGTTATTATTTTCCCTGTCATCTGAGAGTATGGATTATTTTTATGGGAATATGTATTTGTTATCTACACATTCTAGAACAGATGAATATTTGGCAAATAATCATTCAGTGTATTTATTTAAAAAAGATCAGATCTGTACGGTGACGCATCTGCTGTACGGTGACGATTCCATAGATTTTATGAAGTGTAATATATGATCTCAGTATTAACTTAAGATTCCATAAGTTTTTGTGTAGAAATTCAAATGTTGTATCCCATCCAACGTTGAAAAAGATCAATTCTTATGTTTCCATTCATTTCTGATAACATGGATTAAATACACATTCAAATACATTCAACTCTAAGCTTACTGTTCCAACAAGAGGCAAGAAGCGTCAGATCTACATGTACATTATCACTGGTAAGTATCAAGCGAAGGTTACAGCCACCTTCGCATTTAAGATGGCGGACAGGAAGTATTAATTTCGATATTTTTAGTTTTCATGGAATTAACTATTTGAAAGTTGACGTAATGCTTTGATATCATTTGAACTAAACCAGGCTTTTCTCATATGACTAACAAAGAAAGCCTACATAGCCATCTTTACCCCATGCAAGATATTGCATCTTTCATCCTAAAAAGTCACACGTGCAAGATGAGATTTACTTGTGAGATTCCTTGTTAAAACATCAATAACATAGCAACAAATATACTGAGTCTTTGGTTTCATGATCCTTACCGTATCACACATTTCCAGTAACCTTCCATTTAGCGTTGAAAGATATCGTTGAACTGTAGCGCCCATGCACTATATATTAACAAATGATCATACTCTAGAGTTTCCATTTCATATAAGCTTAGTCTCATTTAGTTCATCAAAGCATGGTGCTAACTATAAAGAAGTTTAATTCGATGAAAACTAAAAATATCGAAAATCGACATTTCCCGTTCGCCATCTTAAATGCAAAAGTGACTGCAGTAACTTTCACTTGATACTGATCAGTTTGACAACATTCATAAGAGGGATACTTGATTGGATCAACATTTGAACTTCCACACCAAAACGTATGCGATTTGAAGTAATAAATAATGAATTCTTTATATTACTTCTCACAAATTATAATGAATCGTCACCGTACAGCTGATGTGTCATCGTACAAATTTGATCTTTTTTAAATATACATAATGAATGGTTGTTGAATGGTTGCTGAATCTTCGCCCGTTCTAAAATGTGTAGTCAACAAATACATATTTACATAGAAATAATCCATACTCTCAGACGGCAGGGAAAATAATAACCAAACGAATTGTTAAAAAACAACCTTTTTTCACTTGGGTCGATTATGTGGGCCGATTCACTCAGAAAAAATCAGATCAGTGCTTGTAAAACGTTTATCATAATTGGAAAGTTAAAACCATTTCTAAGAGAATGCTGTTTTTATTTCACATGAAATCGTATTAGTTTTCATCAAATTAATTTTTTTTAAACCCTTCATTTTTGTCATAGTTTTTGCTTCAAAGCAGATAATTTGCGTCACCATACAGAAAACTGTACTCCGCTATTTTTTGACGCTGTACGGTGACACCTGCTTACGCAATGGTTAGGCATGTAAAGACTGGGAGGCAATTTGTAGCAAAAAATGTGGAAGAATTGTCACTTCTTACCCAAGAATTCTGAATTATATTTTTATCATTTTATATCATATTTTACTGAAACATAGATTGTGCCATATGTTCAAATAAACCGATACATTATTTGATTGTGCTTTATATTTTTTATTGATTCAGTGATTGTGCTATATATCTTAATGAATTCTTAGATTGATTGTGCTATATCTTTGAATTTAATAATTCATTGTGCTATATATTTTAATTAACTGATGTATTTGGTGTTCTCTATATATGACTGTATTGATACATTGATGGTGCCATATATTTGAATGTATTGATATGATACATTGATTGTGCCATATATTTGAATGTATTGATTTGATACATTGATGGTGCCATATATTTGAATGTATTGATTTGATACATTGATGGTGCCATATATTTGAATGTATTGATATGATACATTGATTGTGCTATATATTTAAATGAACAAATACATTGATTATGTAATATGCTTGAATGAAGCAATCGATTGATTGTGCTATATATTTTTACAAATTCATATGTTGGTTGTGCTTTATATTTTTATGAATTGATTTGAATACATTGATTGTGCTGTTTAAAGGAAGCAATACATTGATTATACTTTGTATGAAACAATAAATAGGTGGTGCTATATGTTCAACGAATTGATCACAGAATGTGCTTCTTATTTGAATGAATTTATTGCTTGTGCTATATCTTTTTAATGTATTGATTTGAATACATTAATTATACTACTGTAGTTTAATGAACAGATATACAGATATATTGTGCTTTTGCTTTATATTTGAATGGAGCAATACGTTTATTATGCTATTTATTTTCATTAAATACATTGATTGTGCCAAATATTTAATCAATGGTTTAAAGCTAACAAACTATCTCTTAACTTAGATAAAACTAATTTCATAATTTTTACTCCTGGTAGAAATTTAATCCATGACATAAATATACATATTGACAATGTGCCAATAAAAAGAGAAAGTAGTGTTAATTTTCTTGGAGTATTTATTGACGAAAAGTTAAATTGGAAAAAGCATATTCAGCATATTACTAATAAGATATCAAGAATAACAGGCATTCTCTATAAAGTAAGAGACATCCTTGATCATGACTCTAAGCTTAAAGTATATCATTCATTAATCCTTTCTCAAATTAACTATTGCAATATTATTTGGGGTCATGTAAAAAAGAACATACTTACACCAATACATCTTATTCAAAAGAAATGTATTAGATTAATTACAAATTCACATTTTAGAGAGCACACTGCCCCTTTATTCAAAAGAGAAAACATTTTGACAATTTTTGATATTTATCATTTAAATGTTGCTACATTTGTATATAGATGCTTAAACATACCATCTGGCTTTCCGGTATACATTTTTAAAGACTATTTTAAAATTTCCCAACATGGCCATGACACAAGATCTAAACACCTTTTAGTCCAACCTAAATACCGCATTAAGTTTGGGTGGGACTCACTTAAATATATTGGACCATCATATTATAATAAACTACCTAATGAAATTAAGCACAGTGTCAGTACAGTTATATTCAAGGCAGCACTTAAACATCATATTATATCAACTTATTAATTTATTATATGTAACTCTAGCAGACTCTACCATCTCACTTTTCCTGCATTCCTGCACTTCATTAAAATAATTGTATTTACAAATATTGACTTTTGATCCTTGAACTACAATATACGCTTTGCGTCAGATTGTATATGAATACTATATGTAACATGTTAAAAATTGGAATAAACTTAAACTAAACTAAACTATAAATGAACAAATACCTTTATTGTGCTGTATGTTTGAAGGAAGCAATACATTTATTACTATTAGTATATATGTTTGAATGAAGTTTTATATTTATTGTTTGAATGAACCAATTAATTGATTGTACGATTGTACTTTATGTTTGAATGAAGTTTTATATTTATTGTTTAAATGAACCAATTAATTGATTGTACTTTATGTTTGAATGAAGTTTTACATTGATTGTGCTATATGTTTTAATGAAAAGATAACTGATTATGTAATATGTTTGAATGAAGCAATAGATTGATTGTGCTATATATATTTTTACAAATTGATATGTTGTTTGTGCTATATATGTTTTGTATTGATTTAAATACATTGATTGTGCTGTTTAAAGTAAGCAATACATTGATTATACTTTGTATGAAACAATAAATAGGTGGTGCTATACTGTATGTTGAACGAATTGATCACAGAATGTGCTTCTTTGAATGTACTGTTTTGATATATGTCAACAGTCCAAATATCTGTTTTAGCCATAGTGCATATCCATTGACCGCTAATGCCACATAAGGACATGTAATAGATATCTGTATTTTGATTGGATGAGCAACATAAGAGAACCCATCTGTGAACCAATCATATCGCTGATACAAATAGGTTATAAGGAAGAGGAGAGAATATACCATAATTCACAGATGAATCTCCTTATAAACATGAACCTCTAGGTTCATCCAGGAATTCTGGGATATTTCCTCCTCTTGGCCTTGCCCCTCAGATATCAATTTACGTCTAGAGGGCACTTTCTCAACATTAGTCAACATAACTTAAGCATTAATTGCACGTTTTATATATTTCTAATTGTGTCCTACATGTACATGTATTTACATAAGGCTTTATATTTTTCAGTTATGTGTAATTTAGAAAGTATTTTAAGCTTTGTACAATATCTTACTTATAAAGGTATGTGAACATAATAAAAATATATCTGATATCTTTTGTTGTATCAGCTTGAACCAGTTTGTTCCATCTTATTTGCTAGAACATTGTGAATTAGTTTTACCATAATCGTAAAAATGTGAGCATGGGTACGGTGTAACCTGGCATGAAGCAGGCACGGCAACTATCTTGCCAATTTTTTACAAAAATATATTTATTCAAACACTTTCAACAAAAACTGTGAAAATGAAGTTTAAAGGTACATGTACATTTGCCCCACATGTATTTGCATTTGCCTCACATGTTTTGACATTTGCCTCACATGTATTTACATTTGCTTCACATGTAATAAAATTTGCCTCACATGTATTAACATTTGCCTCATATATTAACATTTGCCTCACATATATTAACATTTGCATCACATGTAATAACATTTGCCTCATATGTATTTACATTTGCCTCACATGTAGTAACATTTGCCTCACATGTAGTAACATCTGCCTCATATGTAATAACATTTGCCTCATATGTATTTACATTTGCCTCACATGTATAAACATTTGCCTCACATGTAATAACATTTGCCTCATATGTAACATTTGCCTCACATGTATTAACATTTGCCTCACATGTATTAACATTTGCCTCACATGTATTAACATTTGCCTCACATGTATTTACATTTGCCTCACATGAATTAACATTTGCCTTGCCTCGTTTATTAACCTTGCTACACCCAAGGTGAACATGTGACACATTGGCATTGTCAGGATTTCTAAATTTAATATCTAGCCTGTATTAATTTTTATGAGGGGATTTACATAAACCCAAATTTTGAAGGAAAAACAGTAATGCGAAAAATGGTAATTTTGAGCATTAGTGTTGGTTATAGATAAATCATAAATTCTTCTAAGGATGAAATCTCACTTTAGCATCCCATTCCCCATTTACAAAAATTCCCCCATTCCCCAGGTTGCAAAAGTGAAAATATATTAGGCTAAATACCCTCTCAAAATATATATGGATGAGGAGGTTCGCAAACAGTTATAAATGTAAGTTATGGTTTCCAATCTCCAAATAACTTGAAAATGTCTCCTAATATAAAATAAAATTGCACATGTACTACTATACCTTAAAATATAAGTCTCTAATGGAGCTCTAAGGTGAGTAGCAGTCAATTTGGTAATCATGAAGCAAACGTATTGGTCCATTCAAAAGAAGAACACAGAGTTATATAATATTTCAAACTAATGTCCTATTTTCCTGTAACCAAGGGTTCTTATGACGCCTCGTGTTAAACATGCATTGATACCAGACCTCTCTCACAACTGAGTCAGATTTTAGCAATAATTAAATGGTCATAAAACCATAGGGTTAGCTGAAAATATTGAGTGAAAAGATGATTTCATTTTCTCAATCAATGCAACCTTCTGCATAACAAGCATGTGCATAAAATCAAAACTATGCACTCATTACCTTATCACTTTACAAACATGCTGCTTGAGGAAAATTGCTGTGGAGTATTGGAAAAATTGATATCTATGATTCAGTCCCTGGCAAGTGCCATGTCGCTGACTAAGAACACAAACAAACATTGCTTATTGGTAGCGACAGACCAAATGAATGTAACCTTATAGATACATGAGTATTGCTTTTATGTTCAAAGTATGTATACTACATTATCTAAGCATGGAAAAAGGTTATTTAAAGGTGCAACAATTAGTGCAGGGGGGCCATTCAACGATCATCGACCAGTGTCAAAATATATTTAAGTTTGGATATTTCATCAAGACTCACATATATTTTTATTATCTCCAAAGAAGCCCCCTGGATGAACATTATTTCAGCTGATATGGGCCATTTATTCTGTTGCTGTTTATATTCGCTGTTGGTATAATGATAATACTTCTATGAGATCATGCATATGTATAAATCAATTACAAATCAAATTGTCACTGTCCTTTCAAGACTACTACCAAGATCACTTGTGACATTATCATCTTTTTCATTGGCTACTTTCTGACCAATCAAATCATCACCATTTCCACCAATCAAATCATCACCATTTTCCCCAATAAAATCATCAAACTTTCCACCAATGACATCAGCTGTAACATCATCACTGTAGCCAATTAAAGGCTTGGTTACATCTTGGTCAACATGAACTATGACATCATGGGTCTTATTGGCTGAACTACCATTAGCCCCACCAATAGCATTATCATTTGTATTGAAAACCTCATCCACAGTTTCATGCCCTAATGCATTTCCGTTTTGAACTACTTCTTCAACCATGTCATCATGTAACATTGGATGCTGACTAGAGGAACTCGGTTGTTGACCTCTTTTCCTCAATTTTTTTTTCTGTTTTAATTCACGGGCCTTCTGAACCAAGAGAAGTTTACATGGCATATTATTCTGTAGCCTACACCAGAATCTTGTCGCTTTATCTAATTTGTCCATAGTTGGTAAACATAATTTTGTTCCAGCTTTCAACGATTTTGAAAAACTCTCTTGAAAGTCATCCAATATGTCTTCCTTTCGGATTTTCCCTTCAGTAATGCAAATAATAGGACCTGGGGGTGTCGCTAAAGTTTCCTGGAAGACCCTCAGGGGGATCTGCTTTTTCACGAATGACTTCGTCACAAGGAAAATCACACATCGACATTCAGATATCATTGTCGCCCAATCATTGAAAGTTGCTGAAAAGAAAATGCAATTTAAAGAATGTACACAATAAACATTTAAAATGATTAATATATTTTATGAAAATAGTACTACTTTGAGCGATTCAATTCAAATTTTCAGTATTTTGGTAGTACCCATGTTGAACTCATAAATTCTTTACATACAACATTTTAAGAACAATTTTAAAACCATGTGTATGACAATGTGTGAAATCAGTTATGCAATCCAAACAGAGAAAACATTTTGACCATAGGCCTGAGAACATGTAGTCTGAATCCCCTAGGAAAAGTGAAAAATATTTTTTCTAAGGAGACTCAGAAAGAAATTTTGAAGCAAATGCATTCTCTACGCAATTTGTGTGGAAATTTCACAAAAACGCAAATTGCGGGACAGTTGGACGGCCTGTTTCCGGGACCTATGATTTTGACATAAAACTCACGTGCAGTTGCTAGTCCTTTCTGTTCAGTTTACTTCAAATACAATTTTCATTGTAAATATTTTATTCCTTATATATGGTGATAAAATGAACTTACATCTTCCACCAATCAAATAGTCTTCATTGGTAAATGGAACTTTGTAGCCCAAATTTATAAGCTTCTCGTTGATTTTAATTGACAGTTTCATATCCTTTTCCTCATCGAATACAACAGTGGCGTCATATTTCTTCTCAACTAAAAATACAAATACAGGTGTATACAGTGAAACCTGTAAAGTGGAACATCTCTAGATGTGGAACACATTTGTTAGTGGAACACTTTCCAGAATCCCAACACCAAAATAATGGGAAATGAACCTCTATAAGTTGAACACCTCCTAAATGGAACTCATTTTTGAGGTACCAAAGGTATTCCACTTTAAGGTGCAACAATTAGTGCAGGGGGGGGGGGGCATTCAACGATCATCGACCAGTGTCAAAATATATTTAAGTTTTGATATTTCATCAAGACTAACATTTATTTTTATTATCTACAATACAAAGAAACCCCCTGGATGAACATTATTTCAGCTGATATTCCTCTTGAAATGTGGTGAATCTTAAGAATCTATAAGTGGGACTCCCTTTATAGAAGCTTTGAACTGAATTTACACTTATTAATGCTGAAATTGATAGTTCATCCATACATTTTAAGAAAATAGGAATGTCAAAGAAGATGTTAAGCCAAATATTGACCTGATAACTCAGAAAAAATAAAAAATTTCAAACTTTCTCTCTACAGTCTTTGTTGCCCCTTTAAGACAGGTTTTACTGCACTGTTCTTCCTAGTGTATATTTGTTTATTTGTTTTGTTTGTTTGTTTTAGGAAAAAATCAGACGTACAGAAGGAGACTAATTTATAAGCACCACATACAATTCAGGCCCATAGTCAGAATTTTCCAAGGGGGGTTCACTTTTCCAAAAAATTCTAGGGGGTTCACTTTGGCAAATTTGGTCAAAAATCACCCAAAAAATAGTCAGAATTCAAAATGGTGAAAAACTGCATGTATGATTTTGAAAGAAATTTTGGCCAGGGGGGACGAACCCCCACCCCCTGGCTACGGGCCTGTAATTGATCTACTCAGGTACTATATCTAGTATTATTTACCATCTCTATATCAAATGATGAAGCTATGACAAAAAAAATATGTAAATTCCCTTTAAATAATAAATGTGAGAAAAACCACCAAATACTTTTAAAATCTGTAGTTTCCAGCAATAAAGTATGAACATTTGGGATTTTTAGTGGCTTGCTACAACTGATTATGCCTATTTTAAAAGTACAGAGGATTCAATTATAGTTAAACAAAACAGGAATTTGAAAACAATTTTTCCAGACCAATATAAATGGTTTCTAGACAACTCATCCCAAGACAACTAATCCCAAGACAACTCATCCCTAAGACAACTCATCCCAAGACAAGTCATCCCTAAGACAAGTCATCCCAAGACAACTCATCCCAAGACATCTCATCCCAAGACAACTCATCCCACTAATATAATCTACAACAAGACACACAGTGATAAATATCGCACTTTGAAGAGCAAACTGGCCACCATGCAATTTACCCAGCATGGCCAAAACCTAATCAGACCTTGGCACTAGTCTGCTCTTGCATCTGTAAACATTTCAAGTTGACAAGGTTAGCAGTTTTCCTGCAATTTTGATGACAAGAATTTATTTGTAGTCTTGAACTTTGGGAAAATTTAGATAACATTGTTTGTGACCTAATTTGATGACCTTCGACCTTGAAAATTTCACTTTTTCAGACCTCAGTAGGTCTTTTGTAATTAAGCTGACCTAAATTTAAATCCAAAATATCAATTTAGAAAATCAAATTTTTGACCTTTTCAAGGTCACTGAAGGTCAACGAAAGGTCAAATCTGAAATCTAAGGTCAGATTTGAACTTCTGAGAACTTGTAGATGTTTTTAAAAAAAAAATTTGGTCAATTTGGAGCAAGTTGAAAAATTCAAAATGGCCGCCAAAATGAAATATTCAAAATGGCCACCATGTAATTCAGCCAGCATACCCAAAACCTAATCAGATCTTGGCAATAGTCTGCTCTTGCATCTGTAAAAATTTCAAGTTGAACGGATAAGTGGTTTTCCTGGAATTTTGATGACAAGATTTGTTGAAAAATTCAAAATGGCCGCCACGTAGTTTACCCAGCATGCCCTAAACCTAATCAGATCTTGGCACTAGTCTGCTATTGCATGTGTAAAAATTTCAAGTTGAACAGGTTAGCGATTTTCTTGGAATTTTGATGACAAGAATTGATTTGTAGTCTCAAACTTTGAGAAACTTGGATAACATCATTTGTGACCTAGTTTAATGACCTTGACCTTCGACCTTGAAAATTTCACTTTTTCAGACCTCAGTAGGTGTTTTGTAATTAAGCTGACCTAAATTTAAATCCAAAATATCAATTTAGAAAATCAACTTTTTTGACCTTTTCAAGGTCACTGAAGGTGAATGAAAGGTCAAATCTGAAATCTAAGGTCAGATTTGAACTTCTGAGAACTTGTAGATGTTTTTAAAAAAAAAATTTGGTCAATTTGGAGCAAGTTGAAAAATTCAAAATGGCCGCCAAATTGAAAAATTCAAAATGGCCACCATGTAATTCAGCCAGCATACCCAAAACCTAATCAGATCTTGGCAATAGTCTGCTCTTGCATCTGTAAAAATTTCAAGTTGAACGGATAAGTGGTTTTCCTGGAATTTTGATGACAAGATTTGTTGAAAAATTCAAAATGGCCGCCACGTAGTTTACCCAGCATGCCCTGAACCTAATCAGATCTTGGTACTAGTCTGCTCTTGCATCTGTAAAAATTTCAAGTTGAACAGGTAAGCAGTTATCCTGGAAATTTGATGACAAGATTTGGTTTTATGTGCCGCCCGCCCGCACGCCCGTACGCCCGCCCAGCAGCACAAGACGACGACAATATAGCACTTTTTCAAAGTGCGATAAAAAATATCAATTAGTTATAAATGATTTAATTTGTCCTCTATGTAATATATATATCCCTTTTTCATTTTTGCGATTACAAAGTGATATTTGATTATACACTCAATCTTAATATTGATAATTTTTAGGATTTTGAAATGGCACTTGAAAGTTATGTTCTACTTTTACGTACCGGTATGTTTTATTAATTCTGGGCTATTCTCAAATTCTCAATATATTTGAGAATATAGAATTGAAGATAAAAGTAAAAGACATAATTTCCAAATTCAATCATGATGATTCTGAAAGTTTAAAATTGGAAATCTTATTGAAGAATAAGCCAAATATGACATATTGGAATTAAGCAAAATATGTTAAAACAAAGACTGGATTAATCTGGGAGAATCATTCTGATAATACGGATAATACATTCTTATTGCATTAAGCCTAATCTGACACCCTTGATGATCTTTTATATAATAATCAAAGTATATATCAATTTGAACATGTTTATCTTTATCCCAATCAATCAAAAGAAAATTAACTGAAACTAGAGTAAACTAACTACAAAATACAAAAGATATTCCATGGCCAAACACAGTGTGCTTGCTGCTAAAATCTCTAAATATGTTTCAAATATTCTTTCAAAAGTTAAATTTAATTGTATAAAATTATGTTATATTTCAAGTTGGGAAGAGTTGTCTTGGGGATGAGTTGTCTTGGGATGAGATGTCTTGGGATGAGATGTCTTGGGATGAGATGTCTCGGGATGAGATGTCTTGAGATGAGTTGTCTTGGGATGAGATGTCTTGGGGATGAGTTGTCTTGGGATGAGTTGTCTTAGGGATGAGTTGTCCTGTATTCCCTTATATTTCCGGAAATCACAAAAACATTAACTATAGATCTTTTGCATCACCTTATTTAATTCTATTTAGTTCTTGTATGTTATCAAAAACTTTTATAAACAGTTTTATTTTTGGTTAGTTTATCAGGTTTTAAAGTACATGTAATGTTAAAAACACAAAAATGCTGAGTTACTCCCTCACCTGTCTTATCAATTTTAGGAAATTTGTTTATGTACCACAACTTCATCTGTTCTCCCTTCCATGTAATCACTGCTACAGAAAGAATGGTGACCCCTACCACACAAGCCACTGGGATTGACACATATAACTTCCAAGGTACTGAAACAATGAGAAATATCAGATCAGTACTATAGGTCACATTGCCCTTATTGATGGATCATTTTTTACTCCAAATCTTATTTACCTCATTTGATATATCTGCACAGAGGCCTATTGAGGCCATATTGAGGCCTATTGAGGCCATATTGAGGCATATTGAGGCCATAAATAAATAATCTTTGGTGGGAAGAATATTTCTTCAAATTCATCTCAATATTTTCATGCTAACATTGTAATTGGTGGTCAAAATGCATATGTAATTAAAATGAGTTTACATAGCAATATAAAATCTCCCACACTAAATACATACATTATGTTAAGACTTGTTTAAAATGAATGACCACATAAAATCCATCATATTTTGCACTATGCCTGCCTTCAATGAACACCTACTTGGTCGAGGTTTAGGTGGACATTTCTCGAGAATTGCATTAACACGTCGTGATGGTTCATTCATATTCTGAAGAGCGCAGAAATATTCACCAAAATCCTCCTCGATCACATGTGGAATATAAAGCCTGAGCTCCAAATATGATGCATCACGAGACCTGGAATATAACAGATTTGCATCGCAAGCTTTTCTCTTTTTTGAATTTTTTCTTTATCTTTTTAAAAAACATTATATTGAGGTATTAAAATGATGCCTCGTAGGAATATCCTCTTTGGCCTGGAATTTGTTTTCTTTATCTTTTAAAAAAAATTATATTGAGGTATTAAAATGATGCCTCATAGGAATATCCTCTTTGGCCTGGAAATCTTTTTCTTTATCTTTTTAAAAACATTATATTGAGGTATTAAAATGATGCCTCATAAGAATATCCTCTTTGGCCTGGAATTTTTTTTGTTTATCTTTTTAAAACATTATATTGAGGGATTAAAATGATACATCATAGGAATATCCTCTTTGGCCTGGAAATTTTTTTCTTTATCTTTTTAAAAACATTATATTGAGGTATCAAAATGATGCCTCATAGGAATATCCTCTTTGGCCTGGTGTTTGTCGATCACCTATTTAATTAGCCCAAGAAATCAAAGAATATAAATGAAGGCCTATGAGTAGGATTGGTAAAAGTAATTTTAGCAAGAGTTGCCAATAAGCCAATAATTCTGAACATAATTTCAGAACACCCATCTACCAACCCAAAGCTGGGATATTTTCAAGTTTCCCAAGAATTTTTCTGGATAAAAGATTTGAGATTTGGCCTTTTGTTGACTTTTGTTGACCTTTGGAAGGTAAAAAGATGATTTTTCAAATTGACCCTGGATTCAAATTTAGGTTAGTTTAATCACAAAAGAACCATTGAGGTCTTAAACGGTCAGAATTTCAAGGTCAAAGGTCATCAAACTAGGTCACACACAATGTTAAAATTTCTCAAAAAAAATTGTATTGGAACTACATAATTGTACAAATCAAATTTTTTGACTTAAAACCAGGTATAATATGGCAGAATATGCTACCATTATATCCTACCTTCCTTGAAGATAAAATACATTTATCAGAGAGGTCTATTCGGAGACATTTATGACCAACCTCGGTTTTCAAACATTTCCAGGGGGGTTCTCATTTGACAATTTTGGCCCAAATATGGCTAAAATCACTTGAGAAGTGCTCAAAATGGTGAAAAACTGCATGATTTTGAAAGAATATTTGGCCAGGGGGAAGGCTCGTCTGAACCCTGCAAACCCCCCTTGCAGTGTACATGCAGTGTACTTACAAATTTGTCATGTTAAATCTTGGATTGTTTGAAAGTGGAAATGATGTTCCATTCGGCCTGACTTTGTTCCAAATTCCATAATTGTATCCCAATTGTCCCGGATTTCCCATAAAAGCTCCGCACCATAATGTGACGTTGCCTCCCACGTTAGAACACTTATGGTAATTTTTTCTCACTGTACTCTTTGGTATTGTCACAAGTGGTGGCTTACTCCAATCTTCACAACCTGAAATGTAAACTTGGTAAATAAGGTAGCCTTTCCCAAGTCGGTCTCTTTTACTTATCTTGATTTCTATTATGATATTTCAAGATCAGATAAGTAAAAATACCGACTTGGACAAGGCTATAAATAAGGCCAAAATATTCATATTATGATGGAATCAAATAACTCGACAAGGCACTAACATCCAAAATGTCACAACCTGCCATTTGTTATAGATGCCAAATGCAGGACACCAAACATTGAAAAGCATTCCCCTATCAGAGGTATTCCACTTCTAGGTGTTCTATTTTATAGATTTCACTGTACAGGGTGGTCCAAAAATTTGAACATTTGTTAATTGAACGCAAAACCTTTATTTTTCCTCTAAAATGAGCCAAAATTTTATTGAAGAAGGGTCATATCAAACATTGTCTAGTTTAATGCATCAATCTTGTTGTTTGCACCTATAAACTTTACATCAGATAAATAAGTGGCTGAACTATGTTCAGTAAAATTTTGGTGCAGTTTAGAGGAAAAATAAAGATTTGTTTTCAATCAACAAATGTTCCAATTGTTTTTTGGACCACCCTGTACAGATATATGTAGATCATATCAGTCTAATATTCAATGTTGTCACAATGTTATCATTAATTACTAGCGAATATCTCCATTATTAGTTCATTTCATTTCATTTGAGGGAGTACATATCTTTATGATGGAAATTAATATACATACATGTTTTGAGAAAACTTTTAATTAATCTTCAGTTCAACCCATATTCTACTTCACAGACACTATCCAGATCACAGGCCCATAGCCAGCTTTTGCCAAGGGGGTTCACTTTTCAAAAGATTCCAGCGGGGGTTCACATTTAACAACTTTGGGCCAAAATCACATGAAAAGTGCTCAGAATAGTGAAAAACTGCATGCCGAATGATTGGTGACGAGGTCTAGATAGTTCATTTACACTCTTTTCACCATTTAGATCTTTTAAAAATGGAAATCGGCAAACCTTGAATTTTTAAATCCCATGTATTTGAGATATTTTTCTTGCCATCCGTGGCTATACATTTGTATTGCGTAGAATCTGTCACAGAATTAGAACGCATGATGCTTAATGTTTGGTTGCCATCTTCTCTAGAGTGCAATCTGGAATAATATTCAATAACTGTGACATTTCAAGTGATCTGATTGGTCCATGTGATATTTAACAGGTGGAGTTAGAAATAAGCCTTTAAAAAGTTAATAAAGAAATAAGCCTTTATTAGGTCGAGTTTGAGATAAGCCTTTAAGAAGTGAAGATATCAGTTTTATAGGTGGAGCTAGAGATAAGCCTTTAAGAAGTTGAGAAAGAAATCAGCTTTTATAGGTGGAGTTAGATACATCGTTTTTGTCATATATAGTAATGGGCTAAAATATGATATCAAAAGATGTGCCAAATGTGAATGAAAATGAACAAATATAACAGAAAATTAACCAAAAAGTAGCAATATACTGACTGACCCTGGAGTTGACCCTGAGTGGAGTAAGAAATAAGCTTTTATAACAGGTGGAGTTAGAGATAAGCATTTAAGAAATTCAGTAATAAATCAGCTTTAAATGGGTGGAATTAAAAATAAGCTTTTAAGAAGTGGAGTAAAAAATCAGCCTTTAATAGGTGGAGTAAGAGATAAGCCTTGAGAAGTAAAGTAAGAAATCAGCCTTTAAAAGATGGAGTTAGATATAACCCTATAAGAAGTGGAGTAAGAAAATTTAACAAATGCTCCTTACTCAATGGTATCTGGATCTTTACCAAATGGATACTCTAGCCACTGTTTAGAATTCACATCCACTCTGTACCACGTAAGTTGAGTGAACCCTGATGTACAACACAACAATTTAGTGACTTGTCCCGTACAACCAAAGTTCAGGTCTCCAAGTTCCTTGGTAAAGTCTAGAACATCTATAAAATAAAAATTCAGGGTTTTAAACGAAGTTACAATTGTACTCACGCATTGGCCTACATGTAAATACCATGAGCAATTTTTCAAATCAATTTATTCCTTATTTGTGTCTGTATTATGAAATCTGTATCAGCTTATAATGTTGTGATCTCCACTGCATTAAAGCAAGTGGGTGCAGTACCCACCTGAGATTTTAAAGACAAGCTTGACCCACATGAAAATCCATTTGCACCCACTTGAAAATGAGAAAAATCATGAAAAATTGGCATATTTTGACCAATTTTGGTCTGAATTGTGAAAATGAGATTTTTGCACCCACTTGACAAAAAATCCTGTGGAGATCACTGTAATGTATCTGGTAAATGGTGCATCCTGTTTTCTTTTAAACCAATCAGATCTTGTTGATTTTGTGTGAAATACATGTATTTTGAGGCTTATTTTCTTTATAATTGCACAATTTGGTGGGCTCACATGCCGAGTCCATTGTATTGTGAAAATGTGATATTTTAATGACAAGAAAGTCAATCTTTCCAAAATGCGGCAAAAGCAAGAATACCATTAGTATAAATAAGGCATTTATATGAAAAATGTCAACACATACAGTGGCATATCATGGGTATTTTGTAAGTGTACGCCTCGAGTGAGCGAAACCATGAGAGTTTTTCGGGGGTTCTCCCCCCAGAAAATTTAAAAATGAGATTGCGTTTGAAGCCTTCTGGGGCATTTTTAAATACAAAATTTCGACTAATATGGACAAATAAAATCTAAATTATTGGCCATATTTCAGAATATCCAGTATTTCTAAAGTGTTAGATTAACTTTTCTCTAAAGATGAGAGTACGCCATGGCGTTTTATGTGTATATGACGCTACATCTTTGACATTACATTTGTTACAGAAGCAGAACGCCGACTGCTAAACACCGTTGGTCCACAAAAAAGTTGGGAGACTATAACAATATGTCACCACATACTTCTGGCATTCTGGTGGTGACATAATTACCAGACAAATCTCTTCTTCACTTATTTACTCACCATGTTTTGTAACAGGGCATTTCTGACCAGCTATCAGTGTTGTCATGGTAACCATTAATACCATGGTAACATATGATATCATTTTGCTCATGAGTTGCTTTGTAGGGTGTCGATGTAACCACTGTCCCATCTCAAGCTCTTGCTTGTCCCTAAACATCCAAAATCATTTCCTGAAATAAAAGCATGTGAATTATGCACATTGCAATTCTGGGATTTAATTAAGTGACAAGGGTTTCACTAGAATTTCTTACAACAGGCTAAATAAATGAAAACGACATGCAAAATAAATGGAAATCATAAATTTAACATGGGAGAGTTGAAAAGTCCCTAAAAACAACAGGTGATTTTGCCTGCTGCTTATGAAATCCCTAAGTGAGGCGATATCTTAATCTTAATGGTTTCAATTTTCTTTTTACATTCATTACATTATATGCAGCAACTCCATCCCTTTTCTTCAACAGAATTATTATTTGATTCTTGTTTATTCAACCCTGTTCATTCACTGTATGCTTGTATTCATGAAATAAACCTATTGATTAAAAAAATACATTGTGTGTTAATTTGTACTTGGCTCACTGGCGGATCTGGGGGCTCACCCCCCCCCTTGGGTGGCCCACTTTTTGGTCATTACTGGGCCTTTTAAGGCCTTATTTTTTAATTTCAGGCCAAATTTTTAAGAAAATGGGCCTAAAATTTCAAAATTTGGGCCCACATTTTTTTTCTCTGACCTGAAATTTGCCCCCCCCCCTTGTTGGTTCCCAGATCCATCCCTGAGGCTGAATGAACTATGGTAACTATTTTAAGTGAGAGACAAGCATAGATTTATGGTGAACTCGACCTTCAAATCGGTATAACGATATGTGCATGTCTTAGCTAACTTTCCTTAAATAGAAAAGTGTTTCTGAGAACTTCACTTTAATTAATTTCCATCAGTGTTAAACATCATAAAAATTTTCTTTTGGCTCGGGTTGCTTGATAGGTAATCTAAGTAATATACCGCTCTGGTTATGTAATCGTTTTTTTTAATTTTGATATTCTTTTTATTGACTTATGTTATATCCTCAACAAAGTCCTGAGAAACAACTTGTGTTGTTTATGTTGTAAAATAACGACTTGTGTTGTTTATATTGTAAAAATGGAAATGCAACAAGTCGAAATCCCAATGGTATGCATTTGTAATGACCCTTGATAGCAAGTTGCTACTTCAGTCCAGCTGTAGTGGCTTAAGCCTTTATAGCTCAGTCGGTAGAGCATCAGACTTTGGGTCCATAGGTCCTAGGTTCGATCCCCACACAATGCATTGAATTTAGCACACTTTCTTTCAATTTCTTTATCTGGCTTGTTATACAATGCTCGTCAGTTAGTCATTCCCCTGGGGCGCCCTCGGGTCATTACACATTCATTCAAATCCCATTTGTCTGAATCTTAATTGTCCGAATCTCAATCATCCGAATCCCAATTGTCTGAATCTCATTTGTCCGAGTCCCATGTTTCTCTCAATATGGACCATTGAGATTCGGACCACCCTTATAAAAAATCCGACCTTGAAATTCCGAAAACAAACCATCGCAAGCAATCATCGATTAATGATTGCTTCAACCATTTAGATCAAAGGAAAAACCATTGCAAAATGACATGCAATCATTGTGCAACCATCGGCTGTAACCATTAGAATTTCACAATTTGCAATGGTTAAGCAACCATTAACATGTGATCATTGCATTTTTAAATGCAACCATCTACAACCATTACTCATTGAAATCTGCAATGGTTGCAATGGTCGCATTCAATCATTGAACATTTTTACAATTGCAACCATCATGAGTTTTAATTCAGTGAAATGACCGTAGAACATGTAGAAGTATGTCTGAAGAAATGTTGATGTTAATGCATGTCCACAATGTAATTACTGTACATCTATATTGGAGAGGGGTAAAAGTTAACCTTTCGGAGATCAATCAATTCTAACAGGGGCTTTTGCCTCTAAAATGGGGTCACACAAGGTTGCCTTATATAAACAACTTTTAATAATATATATTTTCTACTTTTTACCATATAACTGCATTCAAAGTATGATATCAATTGATTTTGATAAAAATGAAGAACTTTAGATGAGCAAGAGAACATAAAATTTGAAAAATGACAATAAGATGGAACCCAAAGGGTGCAAATGTCTGCAATAGTAAAAATCTGCATGGCCCAATGTTTTGGTGTTTCAGTAATAAAACACTGTCTAATGCTTCAATAAAGGTAATGTGGCATGTATAAAAGGTACAGGGTGATAGAAACTTTACCCAAACAAATATCTCTGCGGGTATCTATGGTGGCTTTGGAATATGATGACATCCCTATGATAAGTCCATAGTGGATGTATCCCCATGTTAAGTCAATACCGCTTAATGCCTAAATCCTCATTTTCTAAATGAAAGTTTCTGTTACCAGAAAAATATACCATAACCCAGTGTAGACAATATATATAGAACACTGCAGTAGTTGGTTTTTGTGGCCAACACCTGGGCAATCAACTCCTTATCTAGAGCTCTTAGAAAAATCGGCTCAGGGAGTATAAGTCTCGACTGAAGTAAAGACTGAATAAGGCATAATTCTAATTGAAAGCCGATTGTGCAAGTAAAACAAAAGCTTCTGAATAACATTCACTGAAATTGAAATAAGTGAAATACATGTAATGTCTATGTTATTGGACCTTAATCCCTATCATAACAATAACAGTCATACATGACCAGACATATCCTGTCTGAGTCCTTGATGACAGTGACCAGGTAGACATTGCAATTACTACCACTGAATTAAGAGTAACAGAAGACTTATAATCAGGACCATGAATTAATTATCCTTTAGTCCTTTAATAATCCTTTAGGTTTTTACCCAGGGCTTTTTATCACAACACTCTTTAGTGAAAACAATTACTTGTATATTTGTTTTTTCTAACTTAAGACAGGAGACATATGATCTTAAGAGAATAGAATCATAACTTAACTAAAAATACTTATTGTGGGATCTATATGCAACAATTTATAATTGAAACTGACTCAGCTTAAGATTCAGCTGATATATAATAGGAGACTGATAGATCACAATGTATACTTTCTATTCCATGGATACATTTTTTACCTCATTGAAATTTCAATTTTTGTTGTAAAAAGGGAACATTCACATCTTTTTTCAGACAATTAATACAATTTGAGTAATTCTTAAATAATATGATTTCATAAAACAGAAGTGATATTTTGGTTCACTCCAGGTTTGATCGGGTATAGCCAGCTTTTCTTTTGCCAAGGGATTTTAGATTTCTTAAATTCCTGGGTTTTCACCCCCCCCACCTCCATCCCAATTATAGGGTATGGCACAGCCAGCTTTTCGTTTGCCAAGGGACTTAAGATTTCTATAATTCCAGGGAGTTTACATTATATTTTTTGCCTGAAATCACTTGAAAACTGGGTCATCAATGCATTTTCTTGAAAAATCTTGGACAGGTTTATCACCTCTGATTCTGTGGGGAGGGGAGGGAGGTTGCCCAAATATAAGTCTGGAGAAAAGGACTGAATGCTTAGGCATGATTTAAACAAGAATGAGTAAAGTACAGACTACTGGATATATTTACTGAAATGGAAACAAGTCTTTATTTTAGTTTCTGTTGATATTTAGATTGATGTACTGGTAAAAGGGGGGGGGGGGGTAATAACTGTAGTTATATAAAATGAAAAAATGATTTAATTTCTAAATGTACAAGAGATTTCTTGGTCTTCAATAATGCACATTGCTCGAATATAAAATAAAGTTGTGGGCAGAAAATAGTAAGATAAAACATGCATCAAACCTTTTATTATGTTTTACTTAGAAGCACAGACAAGAATTGAATTTGATTGGGATGTCTGATTTCTCTGATTAAACTGTCTTAAAATAACAATGAGCCTGATGGCCTTTTAAGTTTTGTTACTTATATAACTTTTTAGAGAACATAGATCAAGCTTATTTTATACATCTGATTCAGTGGAAAAATTTATGATTCTTAGTTTTTTGTTTGGTTGGGAAAACCACTTATCTTGGTTATTTTGATTTTCACACTATGAATATCAAACTATCTCTAAATCACTTATTTGTATACTGTTTTAAAGAACATCGTCTACAATCAAGCTTTTTTCATACATCTGATTCATTGGAAAGATTTGTGATTCCAAGTTTACATGAACCCCCTGGGTTTTTGTTGGGTTTGGAAAACCACTTATCTTGCTAATTTTGATTTTCACACTAGAACATCAAACTATCTCTAAAGATTTGTAAATCTTATTAGTCAAATATCATCTTTTCAGTAGTTATCAAGATATTTCACTATTCAGGATTTTATAACATGATCTCTATGAGGAATTAGACCCAAGATTTAGAAATCAATGCCACATGTAAATTCTCATTTTTTAAAAAGCTAAAACTTTTTATCATATAAAGCAAAAATCGCAAAAAATGTTATTATCCGGAAACAGCATTTATAAAATTATTTTCAAATTATCATTTACCAGTTGGCATGACAACTGTCAATGCAAATAATAACAATAACAAAGTAATTAGCCATCCAACCAAAATGGCCGACTTAATTAGCTATCCGACCAAAATGGCCGACTTTAATTAGCCATCCGACCAAAATGGCCGACAATGCAACCCATTTAATTGAAGCAATGTAAACTATTAGATATTACCAAAAGAAAAGTCATGGAACTTTAAACATTTGAAAATCAGCTTATAATTGAGATTGATTAGAAATTTTTTATATTATTTGACTATAATGACGTATATATAACTAGTAGTTGTTTTAAAGCATAAAAGACATCTTCACGTTTCTACCATGTATTACTGTGTCTTGTTATTAGCATTGGCTAAGCCACGGGGTGGGGGAGGTGTTATCAATTGTATTCTTAAAAAAATCACAATTGTGCACATGTATATTTCTAATGAGTCAAATCAGTTTTGTTGTACTTTGTAACAAAAATCTTGCGTCAATTAACATGGCAGGTATATAAGAAGGTTCTCTTAACCTGAATATCAGTTTTCATTTAACCCTTATGTGTATCATAATTATACAATTGAAGATATGTAAAAGAAAATATTATATGTCCAACCCTAGAATAGATTTTTCACTTTATGTGATTTTATAACA